GCAGCTTGCCTTGTCTCAAGGTGGCTTGCGTAGAAGTTTTGGGGTATCTGAAGTGATTTCAGCGGCTGTTTTAAAGGTCATTTTACAGTCCTGTTGTACTACAAAAGCAGAAAGTCCCTATCCATGTCAGAATATATTCCTTTATTTATACTCATCCTTATTTTTTCTAAATTCTAAACCAAACTGTCTTAATGTCCTTCCAACAAAATCCCACAATAACTGTTCAGTTAAAGTATGCCTTCTTTTGTAGGGACTGCTCTACGCCATGCCTGGGCTGTAGTGCAGGGCAAGATATCTGAACTGGCCTTAAATGACTTAGATGCAGTCTAGCCATTCCAGCACAGCTGTCAGCTTGGCTCAATTTTCTTTTCCAAAAAAATGCTGCCATCAGTAGGAATGCTTTGTGGCTGAGCTATCTTGATCTCCCACTACAGTTGCAGCAGGGATCTAGCCTATTCATATTCTTCAGGAAACAGCAAGGAAAGAGTGCTCCTGAACTCGGAATTGTTCCACCCCACTCTTGTTGTACCTCTAACATCAGAAGGATGCACTGTAGCAAACAAGTACAGTCCAGTGACCTGTACAGCTGCAACAAAAAAAAAAAAAAAAAAAAAGGAAAAAAAAAAAGCCAGGTCTTTTATTAGAAATTGTGGAGTTTATTTCAGTTTTACCTAATGTGATTTTCTGCCACTTTATGTATTTAAATACTTCAACACAGAATGGAGCTCTCCCCAGCAAAGGTAATTAGTAGCTATCAGTGTGCAGTACAGAAATGCTTTTCCCTTTTTGCTCCTACAAAGAGAGCACACTGTGTATCACATTAACACTGTCTGATAGCAACAGATGACAGCTATAAAAAATCCAACAAGAAAATTAACAATAATGCTTCAAAAATCATCACTAAGGACCTGATCGTGCTAATTGATGTTTAAGATGAGTCATCCAATTAGTTCTTTGAAATAGGACTGGCTGCTGTTCCTACATTATTGAGATTGCTATGTTGTAGACCTTTGACAGTATCAAGCAGTCAATGAATGCAAATTAATGACCATTGACCCACAGATGTGGAAACAATTACATACTATGTTATCTTGCATCAGCATCCCAGGGAGTGTCCTCACTCACTGTGTATGCTGACTAGCCACTAACCATCCCTTGGGGTGCACTTTGAGCTCTTCAACTGATAGCAAGTGAGGAACCTCAGAGCATCCAACCTGCAAATTATTATGGATATCTGGATGGTCTACAGAAGCCCAAGTTCACCCTGTCCTACAGAAACACAAGCTTGGCCCAAACCGCACTTCACACTCTACCTCAAATGTCCTGTGCTACTATGCCAAAGAAACACAGCACAAATGTTTAATCTTAATGGTGTCAAACAGCTGAGCTAAAACAACATGGCTCCTCTTCCCAGTAGGAGGCTCATATGCTTCATTCTAAATAGAAATTGGATGGAAGAGAGTACCCATTTGAAAACAGCTACATCATCACCTATTCTGGCAAGCTGGTGTGTGGGTGAGACAGGGAAAATGCTGAGATATGCTTCAAGCAAAGCTAAAGATGGACAGTTTGTAGTTATGCACAAAAAAGGTAGAGGATCGCCCACTGAAGCAAGTGGAAAGCGTCAAAGACTGAATACAGATATACTATCAGAAACACTGCAAATGAAATATTCAATATATCCATCCAGTGTGGACCCACAAAAACCTCCATTGTCAAGGGTCACCATTCATCAAAGGGACAGAATGGAACACCACTGACAGCACGGGGTAACTACACTTCTGTATGCCCTGCTGCAGGCCAAGAGCCTCTGCATGCCGAAAAAGGATGGAAGGAGAATGTTGAGTGGGACTGTGGGACCAGGCTCAGGGGGAGCAAGATGAGAGTAGCCAGCAAACTAAGTAGAAAATGTCTTCTAGAAAGATGCTGTAAGCTGGCAGGTGGGGGAAGGCAGTCGCATGCTTCCTTGTACATTTTCTTTGTGCTCATGTGAAGTGAATGACTGTTGCTTTAAATCCTATTTGCTGTCTTCAAAAAAAGAATTGAGAAGAAATGTGTATAATTATACATAGAATATTAATTTTCTTCCTGGTGATCTACAACTCTAGCATATTCATCACATTGGAACTGTGCTCAAAAGTATTTTCATCTGATTAAAACCGCTGATTCATCTATGCATGTAACCCTTTGCTAATAGTATGTATAGAAATGGCACTTAACAATTTGCAAATCAGTTATTCCTCATTTTTCATTGTTATTTGGTTTTCCTTAAACACTGAGTGCAACACTGAACTTCTATGTTTTGATCTAGCTTTTTGGAGAGGTAAGGCGCAGCTGGAGGAAGATAGATATTAGCTGACATCTGATTTTAGTTCTGGTCCCAAATTCCCTTTGTAGCTTTGGATAATTCACTCCAGTCACACCTGCACTGGGGTCAATTTTTACAGTCACAATCCTGGACCCACAAATATTTAGGAACTGTGAATAGTTAAACATGATAGGCTGAGAAAGTTGGGGTTGTTCAGCCTGGAGAAGAGAAGGCTGCGTAGCAGCCTTCCAGTATCTGAAGGGGGCCTATAGGGATGCTGGAGAGGGACTCTTCATTAGGGACTGTAGTGATAGGACAAGGGGTAATGGATTAAAACTTAAACAGGGGAAGTTTAGGTTGGATATAAGAAGGAAATTCTTTCCTGTGAGGGTGGTGAGGCACTGGAATGGGTTGCCCAGGGAGGTCGTGAATGCTCCATCCCTGGCAGTGTGCAAGACCAGGCTGGATGAGGTCTTGGGTGATAAGATTTAGTGTAAGGTGTCCCTGCCCATGGCAGGGGGGTTGGAACTGGATGATCTTAAGGTCCTTTCCAACCCTAACTATTCTATGATTCTACGATTCTATGATCACCAGACATCTATCTCACACTGAAAACTCTGCCACGCTTCAGGGTGTGAAGTTCACTGACATTGCTCACTATGCCATGTCTTTCTACACTTTCTCAGCAATTCACATTAGAAGACACTTGTATACTCTCACCCAGGAATGTGGCATTTTGCTACTCTTTGCTTCTGACTCTTTCTGTACTTTCTTCCTTTCTTCAATATTTGTAAATGGAAGCTTGCCTAGAAGAGGCAAGCCTGCGAAATGACTCACAGCAGTGTGACCAGAGTAAACTTGGGATAAATGTTACCCTTTATGCTCATGAAATAGAAATGCAATGCAAACAGCTTTGGTTCATGCCAAACAGTGTATAGATATATGATGCAAACACAAAATACTGGCTCATGGGCTCAAAATACTTGAGAATAACTTCAAGGTGAACACTTCAATGCCTATCATTATAGTCATACCCTTACGGCATATATTTATAACAGTCTCAACACCACTCTTGTCAAAATCTTTAAAGCCGCAACTTAGTCCCACAGGCCAGAGATACTACCAGTTATAATTTTCACTACTTAGACGTATCTTTCTATACATGCTCACAAGTGCTAGGCAGCAGAACACTCACCTCATACCCACTTTCCCTTGTTCATATAAAGAAACTGGCCACATAGGCCAACCACCTATGACTTTTAAGAAGCCTGAAATAGTAGCTGTACTCAGAGCATGTGAAGTGTGTATGTAGGAGATCAATTTTGTGTGAACCTGAGTGTTAGCATTTTATTTTATTAAAAATAAAGGCATGTACTGACCTGCTTTTTGTACCATGTTCTCGTGATAAGGTTCAGTTGTCTTCTCTGGCTGAAAGAAAAAGCAAGGTCAAATACACCACTCCCAACAACTTCACTGTTTGGCTGAAGTCTCTTCTTGGGATACATTCTTCATTAATGTTGGAGCTGTTAAATAGCAGGCCTAGAATTTGCCCGGCCTTGTAAGTGCTCGAGGCAACAGATTTTATGATCACACTCACAATTCTCCCATTTCCCTTTTTCTCTAAAAAATGATTAGGCAGTTCATGCCAGGAAAGGATGCAGAGTTCTTCAGCCCACATGGAGGGAAGTTTGTAAAGGGTTATTTATACAGCTGGAATTGTAAGAATCTGGAAATCAGTCTTTGCTTTGTGTTAGCTTAGGCAGCTTCATGCTCACCTGCTGTAAACATTATTCTGAGTTAATGAACTCCTCCCATGTCTTGATCGTGGTAGTTAAAAACTTGTAATATTCAGTATTATGGTATCCAAGATTCTTTATGAATTTAACTACTAGAACAAACGTTTCCATTCTGAATATGCAAATGTCTTCAGTGCCTCTGAAAATTAGATCATGCCTCTATCTAGTCAGTGCCTAATTTTACAGTTGATGTTCAGAAATATTTGCCCAACCTCTGTATTTTCTGGTTTTTGTTTGTAAAAATGGAACATTAATACTTAATTGCTTCTCAAAACTTTGTGGGAATTAATGCTTCTAAAGCATTTCAAGAATGAAAAGGACCACATAAACTGAAAACTACTGTAATTAAGTATGAATTATTTAAAATGAAAAATTTGTATTGCAAATGAAGTGCTGGAGCAATATATTGAACAAACCACCAAAAACCTCATAAAAACTGCTAACCAAAACACAAGGTTTAGACATCTTGCAGTACCAACTCTTAGAAAACTACTGAGTATAAACTGAGCTGTAGTAATTGACCATATGTGCACACAGCCATATTTTTATGGAAAGCAGTTTCACATAACATATTTTACCTTGCGTTTGGTGAAGACAGGAGTATGCATATGGTCAATCAGTTAACACTGACTTAATGAGGAACCCTCAACAGCAGTTTCATAGTGATTGCTAGTGACTGACATCTAACTATTAAACTGTGTCCTCCTTTTTGCAATATCCAGACTGTTTTTCTCTTCCAGTATTTCGCATGTAGGTTCTGTGGGGCAGTAACCCCTCTTTTATTATATGGACACAGAACAGTTAGCCTTAAACTCCTGTACCGGCATTTGATCCAGTGCAGATAAATGTGATACTGTACTACTGCTACTACTAAACTTAACATATTTCAAGAGGAGTATGACACTTGAGAGTCTGTGTTAGTAAGCTATGGCTTTTGCCATAAGTAGATAGACCATGCAGGCCTTGACACCTACAAGTGCACTAGAAGTTTTTCTAATACCCATCTTTTTATGCATATTGTTGTACATGTCCTGTATCTATTTTTTTGTTAGTTTTTATCTTAGTCTTGAAGCACTTTAAAGGAAATTAATTACATATTAAATACCAAGACTATCTCTTTAACTTTCTGCTACTTTTAAAATCTGTTGCATGAACATTGTCTTTCAGTTTAAAGACAATGTATTAAACAAAGTGATTTAGCTTGTTTCCTATTAGTAAAACAACGTGTTATTTTAAGGATGTTTACTATAAGCAACCAGCAACAGAATGCAAATATGATTTATAGTAAATACCCCGAGTATTTTGTAGATGAGCCATAGACAGTGGATTTGGTTTTGGGAAAGGGAAACTAATAACTAACCTATCCAATGGTATAATAATATATTGGCATTTAATAACAGCATCCCACTAGTTAACAATATTCGATATTTCTTTAAAAAAGTAGGGATGTTGTTACTGCAAGTTATGCAAACATTTTACAAAGTCATTCTATTCAAAAAAGACCCGATGGCTGGAAAATGGCCAACATAATGCCATTATTGAAGACGGACACTGCAAACACTTCAGGAAATTGTAGACCATTTAGTTTGGGTACCTTTGGGGAGGAGAGAATCTTAAAAATTGTTTTTGGACATTAAGTGGGGTACTGTTAAGAAAAGCACAGCTTGATGAAGGACAGCCAATATTGCCTCAGGAAGGAATGATCATGCTTCACTACCTTCTGAATTTCATTCAGGCTATATGTAATTAGAAGAACAAATAGATAGCATGCATTTGGTTTTCATTTTTAGAGAGTATTCAGGAAAATTTTAAATCAAGGACTAATATGGTGTACTGTGATATTGGTAAGGGAATAAAGTAAATAATTTCTCTAAGAGGAAAACTTTATTATTCTGAAACAAATGGGAGCACAGCAACATGGGTATTAATGATAGGGTTTTTACTTTCACTTTATATATATTTAGTGACAATAGTAATAACAAGATCAGGCTATCCAAAACCATATCATTTAAGTTGCAGTAGAGTACTTAAGAATGTATATAACTCTAAGCAGATGCTGAAACATTATTGTTAATGTAAGTGGTATTGCTCAGCTGCCTAAATGATTTACAGCAAATGCCATATTCAACCCCTTCTAATATAAGATCACTTAATCCTGATTAAAGAAAATATAAAAATCATTTATATGAAAAAAAGAAGCAATTTCTGCAACATATTCACCAGGAAGCTAATCTGATAATTAAAGGACACAGTTTTTTAACCTCTCTCCTCTGAACACTTCCAAAATACTGAAGTTTCACATACGAGTTTCTGACCTACCTAATTTCATTATCCCACACTCTGTAGATCAGAAAATTTAGTGTGCTTTAAAATATGAAAATGTTATACCATCAATATTTTCCAAAAAATCCTGAAAATTTTGTGTGTCCCTATGCTTGGACACTGGAGCAAGAAACCTTTGAAATACGTTCCTTACAGAAAACAGGTGAGAACATCCATGTGTGAAAATCAATACCATTTTACAGAAGTCCCAAATTTAACATGAAAGAAGGAGACATCCTTTCTTGACATTCTTAACGAAGATAAACTCTAATTAAAGAATCTAAGATTAATTGTGCAGCACATTGAATAGAAACATATTTTTATTTTGTGGAATTATCAATTTTAGATAGAGATATATAGATATCAAGCAAATTTAGAGTACTATAAAATCTCTTCAGTAAAGTTCATTATTGCATCAATTTACATACAAAATAACGTATCATTACCACAAGACCCAAATACATAATTACATAATACATCATATGAACCAGAACAGATTTAGCTAAAAAATTCACTGCTATTTCTTCCTCCAATCGTTTTGTTTCTTCTCTGATATCAGTAGCAGTTTGAGATTTCAACTTGAACATCAAGCTTCATGCTGAAAATTGTTATTACAGAAAAAATCCTTCAAACTAATTTATAGCTGACTGCAATTCTGGAAATATTATGACAAAACAGTGGATTAGCTCGCACAGCAGCATTTTGCTTTTCATTTCTTCCAAGACCTATGCAGACATCTGTTTGAGACACCAATGCTATAGTTAATCTATCATAAATGTGTTAACATCACATTACCCTTCAACCTCTTACTTTTTTTGAGTGTCTGATAAGAGAAATCCTAACCAGAATAAACATGGGGGAGACTAACAGGATTAAAAGAATGACAATATGTAGGAAGATTTTTAACAGTTACTTTTGATATAGCCCTAATCTGGGAATTCAAACATTCCCCAGATTGTTCACTAAAGACAGTGCTTTCAAAGCACAAGAAGAATACAAGGTAGACCTCTCATCTTGAAGAAGACAACTTGTACATCCAAAATTGCTCACTCAAGGTTCTGAATAAAGACATCAAGACAAAACTCAACAATTAATTGAAATAAACAACATAATCTCCTTGTGATTTAGGATACACACAGTTTGTACAGAGAGAGAATATCTTCTATAAGACAAGTTAGTGGAGGTGGGAAAGGGGGACAAGCTTTCTGGCACTCCATGATCACAGCTCTGCAGTAACAGTTTGGTGAGGAGGCTGCTCCTTAAATCTTGCCTCTCGTTTGCAACCACACCAGCTCATCTGATGTACCTCTTTCTCCATGCCCTGTGTCTCTGCCTATTCTTAGATCACCACTGCTACAACAGCATTACTATTTCCAGCTGAAGGCAGGGAAGACTGTCAGAGGATGCTTAAATAGAGAAAAGTGAAGCTAAAAGCAATGTGCAGGATAAATCACTTTTCTAAGCCCTGCTTATTTATATCCACATTTTAAATATATCCCAAAATGATGATGTTAATGGAAATGCATTCTGTGGCTACCAGTACAACGTGGTGCTCACAAGATGGTAATCAGCTTGATGCAGTATTATGCTTTATCACAGAATACTGCAAGCCTACTCTAAGACAATACAAAATACAGAACAAAAAGTGATTTATTGCCTAAATGATGCATTATTACATAAATGATGCAAGGTTGATGGAGTACCAGTTTATCTCAGGGGTGAATGGAGGCTACACAGTTTGTGTGGCTTCTGGGTGGAGGAGGAAGCAGGCTTATAACAGAAGGATCAACAGGAGTCAGAGGAGGTGTTGCACTTATAGGACAGAGTAAAAGAGGAAACAAATGAGCGCTTACATAGTACAAAAATTAGAGATGTTGAGAACAGACATCAAAGAGCACAAAGAAAAGGAATTATGAAAATGCCAAGGCACCACTGCTAGAAGCCCAGTTGAAAAAAAAAAAAAAGGACTCTAATATGAGTCTAAAATCAATCTCATTGGTATTTCTGAGACCTGAGAGGAAACTCACATGTCTGGGATGTTAAAACCAACAGTTATTACTTATTTAAAGACTGAAGGAGGAGAAGTGATAGCCTGGCATAGAGCTGGAACTGGCCAACCTCTGCTTTCCCTCAAAGGAGTCGTCTACAAGAGCTCTGGTGCTTCTTGTGTTTCTCATGTTTCTAATGTCAAAACATTAGTGAATTGCCTAGAAATCCTAGATGATGATATCTTTATTCAGATTGTTGCTTCTGCCATGTAGTCTTCCATCGGACCTTATGGTGAGGAGGTAAAGGGGAATTATTTGCAGAACTAAGCATTAGTGGCTGCCTGGGAGCAAGGGATGGTAAAGAAATTTGATGGCTGAACAGAATAAAACAAATCAATCAAATGTGACAACAAATCAATCAAATCAAATGTGAGAAGAACATGAACGAAAAAATGAGACTAGAAATTGTGAACTGCTTATGACAATTTTAATAGATATCTCCCAAAACAAGGAAAGAAGGGCAGACTAATTATGAAACAAATGTAGCCTACAGCCAAGTAGGAAGAGTAAGATGATGTATTCATATTAATATCTGAAGGTGATATTAATTCCGCAAGTAATTACAAAAATTTTGGTTTAGGCTTCCTCACTCAAAGATCCTGACTCCCAAACAAGCAGCATAACTACAAAGGCCCAATACGACCAGATCTCATCACAAGGCTTTTCTGACTGGATCTCTTCCATCTCTTGTTAAAACAGCATGGGATATAAAAGTCACAGGCACAGGTACAGACAAAGCACAACCAAGTCAGACTTTGGCTAATGTGATAAGAGGATCCTAATGAGAGCATGAGCTTGGGTTTCTTGATCCTGCTCTGCCATATGTGTATGCACATTTATGTCTCTGACCCCCACTACTTGCACACCGGTATGCACATTGACCCCACTTCTATGGGGGCGAGGACATTCCTGCTCAGAACTGTCCTAGAGTTGTGGGGATAGTCCTGCAGCTGGCCATCCTAAAGGTGTCTCAGGCAGAAGTGCCTGAGGAAAAAACAGATGCTAAATCATGTGCATTGTTTGGTAATGGGATTCAAGCAAACAACACATGGTTTTACATGGCCTGGTTTTGTCATAGGAACAAGGAAGCTGACAGGAGTTCTCTCAATGGGAGGCCCTTAAACAGGAATCTCTGATGTTGCTAATATGATGTTAGAGGATGTGGCAGAAATTCAGATGAGATTTCTCCCTGCAACACTGTACTCAATCTCAACCCGTAGTGCTAACAGCTTTTTTGGCTCTCAATTTCAGGTCTTTTCTAAGAAGGATGCCTTGGATTTGGATCAAGCAGTTACATCAAGCTGCTGCCATAATTGATATTTGTAGCTACATGCTTCAAAATCATGGCCATGTATTTTCTACCTGAAGAATGACTTCCTCAGGAACTGCACATCTATCTCAGTAGGGACTCAATGACACATCACCTACATCTGGTCCATATCAGTGTTGCTTTGGGTAGGTTTCTGGAATACTATGATCATGCTGGTAACACCAGCTGTCCAAATCAGTATTTAAAATACTGACTTCTGGATCTTTCCAGAGGCCTACTACTTCATAGGAGGTCCTTATCATCTCTGTTTGCCCTTTAGCAGCAGAATACTGGGTTTCAATGTGGGACTATGAGCTGCACTTACCATCTTGCAATTCCATGCAGTCACATGCCTGTCAGTGGTTCTACCATCCAAATCCATATCCAGGCTCCTAATACTGTGCAACATATCCCACGAGATAAAATAATAGCAACATTCTTCTGTACCTGTATCTCTTTAACTTCTTTACAACCTCTAATCATGATTTCCATGAAGGTAAGGGTTCCACCGATGTCTTGCTATTAATAATGGTCTTCTTGTTGGAAAAGATTTTGACATTAACTCTTTTCCTTCCCTGACAATTTTTTATCCCCCCTAATTAATTTAAAGCCAATACATGATATTTAAATGAGTTAGATATCCTAATCTAATCTAACGTAATCACAATTCTAACTACAGCTATGCCTATGTGCTGCTCAGACCGTAACTGAAATGATATCGTTCTACTCCCTGACAAGACCAAATGGAAGTATAAGCATACAAAATACTTCTGAGAATATAAGGTTTAGCCTGGCCCGATGCTTATATGACAATGATAACAGTGCCTCATGTGATCTGCATGCACAAAAGTATTGCCTAAAGGGAGAGAATGTACACCACTTTTTTTTCCTTGCTGCTCGTTCAAACTTTTTTAGACACAGTTTGTTTCATTTCAAACTGAAATAGAAACAAACTTCTGTAAATTACATTAAAATTTTCTTTAAGGTAAGGTATTTTGTGTCTTAGCTACTTAGCATTCATCAGATGGGTGTGCCTGGCAAACCAGAGCTGAGTAGCTGAAGCCTTGTGAATTCATACGCTTTCTGCACACTAAGTTCTGCCTGTAGAGAAGCCCAGAGAGAAAACTAAAGAGTAATTTGTCCAAGTTGTATAAGGTTTTTAATAAAGAAACATGAAGATTGATCAATGTCTTCAGTTTGGGCAAATCTTGTTATACCTTTGGCAATGTACAACAAGACTCAGTGGCTGAAATTAAAGGCTACAGAAATTTAGACTAAAGGTCCCATTTCTTTCATTGTTATGATAATTACTGAAACATCATACTCAGAATTTTTGTATTTTTTTTGTCTCTGAAAATGTTATAATCAAGAATTGCAATGGTTTTCTCAAACATGCACTCTAATTCTAGAAGGAATTCATTCCATGAAATTCTTAGATCTATGTTATGTGGGAGGTCCAGCTAGAGAATTGCAATGGTTTCTACTGGCTTTATACTATACAAACAACCTAAGAACCTGCGACTGAATAGTTGTTGCTACACCACTCCTGTTTAGGGAACAAGCATTATGGTCACAATGGTCTTTCAGTGGCAAAGCTCATTTTAACTACAGGCTAAAGTATCAGACCTTAGAAAAAGACTAATTTGGCAGTATTGCCCCTTCTGGCTCTTTGTATGCCTTTAATAATTTCACATTTCTTTCTAGTCTTACTAAATCACACTTTTATTCATTGTCACTGAGTAAAATCACAAAGAATTATCAATACTTCAATAAATTCACTCATGTATTTATGTTAGAACATACTTATTTGTCACGTTTGATTAATGCATGACTCTTGTATATGTTTGTCCACGTAATGCAGCTGTAAAATAAGCATTCAATAATACATCTTCTTGCCCCGTATTACAGTTTTAAAAAATACTGATAGAAGCTCATACATGCAAAGAAGATTGGCTATCACTTAAGACACAAATGAGGTGTCTTAGGCATCTTTTGATCATGAAGAAATCAGATTTAAACCAAAGTTTCAGTAGTTAAAAACTGGACAATAAGGCTATTGCATCATTTTCTGATTATAGTATAAGAAAGTGTGCCCAAGCACGTCACCGCATGCAGTTTAAACCCCTTCCTATACCAATACTGGTATAATTTCACCCTGGAGACAGCTTTAGGATAGGGTTTATGCATGAAATCAGCTTTTCTACTTTTCAAAAGCACAAATGTGTTAGGATCTGTCACCCTTTTATCTTTGTGAAGAATGCTAGGCTAAACTGAATCTGATTCTTGGGCAAATGTAAAAACTGATGAGGATGCAATGGATCCCAACCTTTGTAAACACTGGCATAATCTGCAGAGGGACAAAGAATGGGAGAAAGAGAATGTGAGACATTGGTGAAAGAATTCACTGTGCTTAGGAGCCCCAATTATGAGCCAAGATCCCATTTGCATTGTTTAGTAACAAAAGATGATTCTTGCCCCAAAGCACTTACAATAAATGTGGATTTGAAATTCATTTTCAAGGAATGCTAGGGTACTTGTGTGTGCACTGTGTTTAATATATAGGTAACACTTTTGGAAATGGCATGTATTAGTGGAATAAAGCCAGCCTGAGCCTGCGTATTGTTAAACTCTGTTCACAAGATAAAAATTATTGTGTGATATTGGGCAAAGACATAATTTCTTCATTAATGGATTCCAATTTTAAAATGCCTTTCTACATTAGCTGTAGAATTTATGCACCCAACAGTATCTGAATAAGAAAAATAAAAGATTTTGCATTCTGTCACTGAATGACCTTGCTAACTATAATAGAAATTAGAAAATATGTTCTAAATTTGTTATAGTAAAAGTATTCTCCAAAGTATCACAGTAATTATTTTTAAGATTATCTTAATTTAACAGTCCCTCACTTTTTCAAGTACTCTGGCCTTGGCTGATTACTTGAACCTTCACATACATATTACCTGCAAAATCTTTGTATATGTTTCTAATACTCCAAACTCCTTACTTTCCTTGAAATATGCTTAAAGATAGTGTGGCTTAATGAAAGGCCAGATGAAGATATTTCATGGTCTTTTGTCACACAGCTGAAAAATAAATCTTTGTTCACAGACATATCAAGTGTTAATCTTAATTTTTATTAAAATATTTTAACTTTTTCCTTTAATGAAAGAAGTGAGCTCTCAAAGAAGATACATCTTTCACACAGTGCAGCAAGCACCATGTTTTCATTCTCATAGGCTTGGAATGAAATTCTTCACCATTCGACTCCACAGCTCAGTTCTTCACAACACTGGTAATAGATAAAGTCATCCCTGTATCTCACTACGAAATCATCAGAAATAGTACAGCACTGCTGGCACCCTTGGGACCTTGCCATTCTCTTATGCACAAACCACCTTCCTGACAGCTATGGTGGTCAGTGGGACTCTGGGAATTTTCAGTTCTTCCTTCTCATGTGGTTTTTGTTTTCTTTCCACTCCCCAACCCTTTCTGTAATCTGAAGCTACAGGAACAATATTCCTCCCCTGTCTCCCCAGTTTGTTTGGTTCCACAGCATTGTAATCAGAATAAAGACAATGAAATAAAGTTGCCTATAAAACTGTCGGAGAAACACAAAGCCTTCTCAGACATAGAGCTTTAGCCTATGTCCTTACCTTCTGGTCCCTTAATGTGTCAATCACAGTAGGCACCATGACCAGAACTCCCTCTTGCATTTCCTATCTTCCTTTGTTCCCTAGCTATTTTAAGTCCTTCAACCTCTATGGTGAAAATCTCCTCTTTCCCAAACTGCTTCTCATGTAAGGCATCACCTGGTTTCTTCCTTAGGTTTCTCCCCCCTCCCGTTCAGTCAAGGTTCCCAGTCTCCCACCTATTGCATCTGTTTACACATGAGGATTGACTGCATTAGCCTGGAAGAGCTTATATCTGCACTGTCTACTGGCATGTGACTGCAGTACCTATAGGAAAGGGCATATCATTACGGTACTGTCACAGGAAGATGCATATATTGCATCACACCACTTCTCTCCCCATGACACCTGATTTGTAAACCTCGACTAATCAGAAATGAGCTGTTGGATGGATCTGAGCCCTATCAAGAGGAAGGCAATTCCACATAGCTCAGAATATCATCCTGCTCTCCCAGAGTACAAGAAGCAGCTCTTCTCTCCTAGTTATCATAGGACTACATGACTTCCTTTCTGTCTCTAAAGATTTGTCTTCCTCTCTCTACTGGAGTCTGCCAGCAAATTTGAGCACATCTCCTGCAAGCTTTCTTTGAGTATAGGTGATAATTTATATACTGTTTATATTTATAGGTGTTCTATTTATATAGATCCTACACTTTCCCAGTGTTTTACATCCTGTTTTAAGTCCATCCTTTGCATCCACAGTTGTGAATGCAGGAATTATTTCTGTCTTCTAAGCATTTATAATTAATTCAAAGCAAGACTTCCTCTGACTTCTGCCTGCCAAAGTACTGGGTAGTTGAGTATAGTCTAAAATTTGCTAGAGGTACTTCATTTGCCATGACACAGAGAAATGGCACTGAGCATCTATGTCAGAAAGTGAGCTGTGCTCAGCTGCATACGCTGACTCTGCTGTTACGCAGACACCTGGCAGACACGGACCTTCAGCTGCCATCTGTTCTGCCTATATTGTGCAACTGCATCCCTGTAATCTTTCAGTAAAAATGGAAGGGGAGAAGTAGCAATAACTGTGGAGAAAGGAGAGTACAGTAAGTTTCATATAACCGCTAATATCAAGAAGTATAGGTCATGGAGTAGTTGATTTTGCTTGACACCAAAGCAATTTTCACAGCAGGTGATATACAAAATTATCCTAGACTCCTTCAGGTTTTTAGAATAATCGAGGGGAATTACACACACATAAAACTAATGTCATGTATAGGGCAGTAAGAGTCATTACCATAGGAACTGTATGTCACATGCCTGCTTCCAAAGAATCCTCAGAGACATCACAAGAAGAAGCCATTAGGCTTCTGTAATCTGTGGAAGGTAATAAATTCTGAATGACACTATTGGAAGTTACTTTTTACAACAGCACCTCTACTTGCCGATAACTACCCTTACCTTTCTCTAGGATGTAAACAATAGGATGTCTACCAGCAGCAGGAGGTTTTACTCTTTAATACCCAGCTCTGTACCACATGCAGAGGAACACACTGCAACACCAGGCATTTAAGACAGGGGAAAGCAATAGTGCATAAGCAATGTAGTACAGTGGTGGCCCCCTCATTCCTTTTGGGCTAAAAAGGAGACAACCAAAGGACAACAAGGGTCACAGTTTTGGCAGTTAATTCTACCTCTTGTTTACTTTCCCAGCATTTCACAGAACTCCTCTGAGGTTTCCAAGTTAAGCCAGGCTGCTCTCAATATTAAAAGGTTTCAGAAGGCGTCTATGCAGAATAAATAGGGTAAATTAGTAAATTCACTTGTAACAATGGCAATCATGCCTTCAGCTTTTATAATTGGGCTTTTGTTCTCAGGCCTTTTCATATGTCTTTCCTTAGAGGTAACATCACGTGTGAGAGCTAAAGCTCTCATAAACAGGCCTTTGCTCCCAGATGCCATGCACAGATTAGCCAAGGAATTATTTTTCTCTTTGGTTTCTCCTCTGTACCTCTGTGTTTGGTTTCTGTATTTGGTTTTGGACAGGCTGAGGCTAGATGGATTACATATGTTCATTACTGTATCTAAAAACTTTTTTTTGAACAATATGTGTATGTTAGTCCAGAAATGCATGTATTGTTAATATGAATATATTTCTCTAATTTACTTTCACTTGTTTTTTACAAATTACTTGCTGCATTTAGTCTTCAGGCCAAAATCAATCTCTTCCTATATGTTTCTATATTCAGCATGTAATGTGTTAAAATTGTAATTTAAACTATCTTGCAGTTCTACAAAATATTAAATGATATGTCATAACTTGTGATTGTATTTTTCTCATAGAGTTGCTAAGGTAACATGCTGGAACTTGTGGTTCAGTTTTGTTGAGCTGACTGTTTATTACATTTAAAAAATAAAAGATTCATTATGTTATGTTGTATTTATTATTTCTATAACCTCTGCAATTCTCCATGGGCTTCTACGCCAAAGACAATGACAGCCTGATTTTGGGGAGTACTTTTATCTGGGGAGATGATGGAGGGGAGAGATCTATAGCACTAGACAGTAGATCATTAAGTGGCTTGTTTCTCTTACAAAAGACTCCCATGTCAAGGGATTTTCATGATCTGCCAGATTTCCTTTGTTTTGCTAGTACATGGTAGATGTTTGTTCCTGGTGCATAATTACCCTAACGTTTAGCATTACTCTTTGCTGAAGCCCTTATCCTTAACCATGCTTGGACCAGGCACATCTTATCCCCTTCAGGAGAAGCAACAAGCCTCCTTTGACCTGACCCTGCCATTCTGTACTGAAGCTTTTGCCATCTCACTGCTTCTTGGGGTACCTCGCAAGCTTCGGAAGTGCCTCTGTTGCATGTTAGGCCAAGCACAATCAGCTGGGCAGGCTTTGCTGCCTGTGGTTTTCACCATGCCCATTATACCTGAAATTCCACATAATGTCATTACAATTCCTTGTATTCAAGGGTTTCTGTGCAAGCTACCCGCTTCAGTATTTACTTTACTGATTCATTAATATTTTACAATATATTCCTTTTGGAATTGTAGAATCCCATCTTTAAATTAAAAGTCAGGTGACAATCAAATGCCTGTAGATTGTATTTTCACCGCTTACGGGCAGTTCTGAAAATACAATTTAGATACAATTCTAAAGATATGTTGGATACAATTTAGGGCATCTCAGTTTCAAGGCTTAGGAAAAACCCTTCTCACCCATCACTTCAGTAACAAACTTGCTACTTCCATTGAATTGGGAAAATGGTATGAAAGCATAACATGCTTATTAAGTGTAATGTTTTAATCTACCTAGTTTACTGCTTTCCCTCTGCCCTTTACTTGCAGAGGACTTAAGATAGAAGCTAAAGGAAATGCAGTTATCCTGCTGTTGTCTATTTAGCTTTCATTAAGTAAGTTGGTGCATGGCTCGCACTCATTCTCAAAACCAGTCCATCATCTAAAAGTATTTACATAAGACTCTTTGCATTATACACCAACCTCTGCAACACTAGTATTAACTACCGACATCTGCCAAGGCTGACTAGTAAGTGCTTTACAGTATCAATTCATCCTAAGCAAAAAGCATGTTTGAGTGCTGCAGTGCTCTTGTTAATGCCAATAAGAAGTATCAGAGCTCATATGACACCTAGCAGAAATTAGTACCCACATTCAAAGAAAAGCTTTTGTTATTTTCCAGAGTATTATGTGGACTTTATTGAGATGACTGCATCTGACACCTGCTGTAATATAAAATGCAGCTATAATTAGCCAACTGATGCTCTCCGCAGTTTAGGTCGAATCCCTTCTGTGGGAATTATGCTTTAAAATATTCAGAACTCCAAGTGGCTCTCATTACATTTAATTTTTACTTAGAATTAGGTGGTCTAGAAAAAAAATTTAGGATTGTAATAGCCCCCCGCTGAATGCCACACAGCAACGTGAAAACCCATAGATTTTTTCCAAATAAAAAAATGAGAACAGCAGACTACACTACAGCCTTCAATTGAAGTCTGGCTTTGCTTAATTGTACTTTTTGCACTCATCAGTCTCTCCTCTTCAGAGCAAGCTACAAAAATTGCCTGAATAGCCAAAGAAAAGTTTCCCACAGTCACTGGCCACAGAAAAACACCATTGTCCTTCCTCACAGTTTGATGGACAACATTTCTATAAATGGGTAGCCAGTCTGTCAATGGTACCCTTGCTGAAAAGGCAAAAGAAGAGAACAGATTCTGCCAATATCTGACAAAGCATGTTAACACATAATCAGGCATTCAGTAGTCAGGCAGCTGCCCCTGGGACCTTCATAACACAGGTGCCTTTAAGCCATTTCCTATTCAGAGATAAAGGAAACAAGCAGGAGATACCTGGGAAAGGAGCAGTCTATTGTGGCCTGTCAAATGTCCATCTTCTAGCCTGCCTGCGTAAAAACAGCAAGAACATAAAGGAAACTTCAGCCTGACTGCTAAATTATAGAATAGCAAAATACTCTCCAACTCCATAACTTTAATCTTCACTTAAATAATAATTAAAAAGGTTAGGAAAGGAGGACCATGCTTTATAAGAAGTACCTTCTTCATTCTTTTTCCTGCATCAAACTTAGCAAAACATGTCCCCAAGGCCAACAACCAGAATAAAGCCAGCAGTGGTGGTCCCAGGACTGCCACCTTCACCCATGGCAGCTTTGGCATGGTTTTTTTCATGCCTAATCTGCTCACTGCTTCACCCATCTGAGATTATTAAATTAATTCTTTAACTGAGGAAACTGGAATTTTCTGATGGACCAGTCTAGTGTAACTAAAACTTGATTAAGACTCTTTCACTCTTTTTTACCAACTTTATCTTAGTAAGCCTAACAAACAAGTGATGTTTCATAGTCAATGTTACCTAAAGGCCACAAAGTAGAGTGATTATTTTAGCAGTGAATATATCATGATAAAACAACAGCTTTATGCAAAAGAAAACATTTATCTTTTGTGATTGTGCATAAGCATGCCTATTTCATACACTTAGCATATTAAATGCCGAAATCTCTAGCCGCAAGTGGGAACTCAGTTTCCATTTAAGTAATCTCACTGATTTTTCATGGTGATTTTTGTCAGGCTGCCTGCATGTTTAATGTTAAACACAAGAAAAAACCCAACTCTGTTACCAAAATCTATGGAAGTTCCTGGTGGAAACAACTCGTGGAAGCATTATCAAGAAAAATGTTTCAAGAGATGTATCACAACCTCTGGAATTGCCCTGATGTTGTTAGAAGGCTCCTGCAGGTGATGTGCTGTCTCTGAAAACACAAACTGCTGCAGTGCAGGACAAAGCACTTGCAGCAGAAGTCAGAATATGGCATGGTATGAACAAGTAAATATGGAAAGCTCTTCCATGCACTTCTTTGTGAAACAGAGCTGGTCTTACCTTCTCCTCAAGCAAAAATGTTCCAAAGAGCACAGTTATGATTGCTCACAATTACCATTCTCTAAGCTGTTCTACTTATTCATACAGGTGATATATTTATATGAATATAAACCAGGAACATTTCTGAGTTCCTGCAATAAAGTTATTCAAATGGAATCCATAGACATAACAAAATCAAGCTGAAGACAAGAATGAAAAAGATTAAGAATGCTGCATTATAAGATATAAATAGTAATAATTAAAAAATCTATGTTGTATCCTTTTTCGTTTTTTTCTTGGTCACTTTTGACAGTGCCATGTATAACAAGGTTTCTTAGCACTGCTCATACCTGTGCAGCTGAGCTGGAGTTACACTTCTCAACATTTAAAAAGGACTGCTTGTTCTCTGTTGAATCAGCCTCAGGTCATTATCAAACTTACAACTTAGGCCCAGTCTTGCAAAGGCTTTTACACACAGGCTTAGCTTTATGCACATGAATAGTCCTTTAGAATTCATTAGAATGATGTGTGTACAAAGTAAGCAGGTGCATGACTAGCTTCACTGAAGGATTGGGACCCAAAATGTCAAAGACTCCATATTCCCTATTAGCAAATGCCTCTTCTACATTAGAAAAATACTGACAGTGTAAAGATGAGTGTGATCTTTTGTTTTGTCCGTTTACTATAATACAATGGAAATCACTCAAATAACTTTATAATTTATATCCAAAAAGGGCATTATGTATTTATTTGTACAGATGTAGAAGTTGAAGAATACTGCAGGTGGCATGAACACAGAGTGATATATCTAGAGGATTTAGGTGCCTATCTTACTCTGTAATATGAATATGTTAACTCCTTAAGGCTATTTTGAGAGGCTCAACTCAATTACATAATATAGGTCCCTAATTTCAACTATCAGTCCATGAATCTCATGTCTAAAGCAGATCTGGACCTAGTTCCCGAAGTCAATGGAGAAGCCTGCTAGAATACTGAATGACTGATCAGAGCAGTAATGACATATGTGGTCTATTAGATAACTGTCTAGCTACTGGAGTACAGAAATTTACAAGCTAAACTGCTGAAGCAGGAGGTAAATTTAAATTTAAGCAACTTAACAGTTCCACAGAGAAGGCTACTGTCCTGGGTTCAGCAGTAGCAGTCGTTTTTTCTCCTTCTCAGTAGCTGGTGCAGCGCTGTGTTTTTGACTTTTGGCCTGGGAACAGTGCTGATAACACCGATGTTTTTAGTTACCGCTCAAATGTTTAGTCTGACCAAGGACTTTCTGAGTCTCATGCTCTGCCAGGGAGGAGGGGAAGCTGGGAGGAAGCAGAGACAGGACACCTGACCCAAACTGACCAAAGAGATATTCCATACCACAGCACGTCATGCCCAGGATGTAACTGGGAGTTACCCGGAAGGGGAGCTCACTGCTCAGTCAGGCTGGGTATTGGCGGGTGGTATTGTATTCTCTTCCCTTGTTATTTCCCTCATCATTATTATTATTGGTGGTAGCAGCAGTGGTTTGTGTTATACCTTAGTTACTGGACTGTTCTTATCTCAGCCTGTGGGAGTTGCATTCTTTTCGATTCTCCTCTCCGTCCCTCCAGGAGTAGCGGGAGGGCAAGAAGGGGGGAAGTGAGTGAAGGAGTTGCCTGACTGGGTTTAAACCATGACAATTGTTTCGGATTAATAGTCGCTTGCCACAATGCTGATTTATTGGCTCTCAAAGTTATTGCTTCTGATCTCAGTTTCAGCATGTCATACCTTACTTACAGCTGGTATTTGCTGTGTTAGTGTTCATCAGATGGGGGGCTTGGGCTAAGGTTCTTGTTTCACTGTACCTTTATGGTAATGACTTGTAATACAGGCGGGCTCCGGCAGCAGGGCGGGACGGATGTGGCCGTGGACTTGTACGTGGCCATCCCGCTGCTCCTCGTCCTTGCCTCTGTCTTTGTGAGGCTGCGGGGAGCCAAGGGGGAGCGGCCCAGGGAGCTGGCAGCCCCCGAAGCAGCACGGAAGAGCGGCCCCGGGGAGCAAGCGGTGGCAGTAGCAGGGCCAGAGGCCAGGAGGGAGCGGCTGCCAGAGGAGGAGGTTGGGGCGGTCGAGGAGGAGAAGGAGGCGGCTGCCGAGCAGCTGGATGAGGCGGCGGAGGAACTGGGCCCCGCGGCTGAGCCCAGCCCCACGGCGGCCGAGAGCATCCCCTGACAGCCGCTCGCGGAGCCCCGAGAGCCCAAGCCCCAGGAGGATGCGGAGAGCAAGAGACCCCTGTTCTGGACCCCTCAGTTCAAGAAGGACAGGGACCTGCAGGAGAGAGTCCAGCGCAGGGCAACGAAGATGATTAAGGGAGTGGAGCATCTCCCTTATGAGGAAAGACTGAGGGAGCTGGGTCTCTATAGTTTGGAGAAGAGGAGACTGAGGGGTGACCTTATTAGTGTATATAAATATATAAAGGGGGAGTGTCACGAGGATGGAGCCAGGCTCTACTCAGTGGCAAACAATGATAGGACAAGGGGTAATGGGTACAAACTGGAACACAAGAGGTTCCACTTAAACTTGAGAAGAAACTTCTTCTCAGTGAGGGTGACGGAACACTGGAACAGGCTGCCCAGGGAGGTTGTGGAGTCTCCTTCCCTGGAGACATTCAAAACCCGCCTGGACACATTCCTGTGTAACATTATCTAGGTGTTCCTGCTCCGGCAGGGGGATTGGACTAGATGATCTTTTGAGGTCCCTTCCAATCTCTAGCATACTGTGATACTGTGATACTGTGACCACCTTTGGGAGCCTCAGCTGGGTCCAGCCCCAGGCACCTGGGACAAGTGCAGGATGCAGGAGACCACACAGCACTTTCCAGCAAGGCAGAGGAGGAAGATCTGGACTCAGAAAAAGAGAAGCTGGTGGTGAGAGAGCCAGCAAGCACACCAGCCCCAGTGACAAGTATAACAGCATCAAAACTCAAATGAGAGTTCTGAAGGTTTTGAATGGCCTTTGGGTACCCTTGGGACCTGCCTGCTGATTGCGATGGGGATCAGCATGTCGGCACACATACAGAGTGTGTTTTACCCATGACCATTTTGTCTGATCTCGAAAGTTAAGCAGAGTTGGGTTTAGGTCTTGTCTAGGGTTAGATGACAATATAGGAGGACCAAGAGGTTTTCCCCAAGGCTGGATAGTCATGAGTGGCAGGGTATGTGAGACAGTATGGGTGAATATCTAGTGCCCTGGGCCCCTCCAGTGCTTTGGAAGCGTCAGAAATGGAAGGCAGCTCTATGGAGTGCCCAACAACAAGTTTCAGAACTGTTGAAGGGAAGGGTGAATTATTTTTGGCCCAGTGGGCCCATGACACTTCAGGCCGTCAGGGCAGAGATGCAACATATAGATGGGCTTGTGATCAAGGGGTGGACTTAAGAATGGACACTATTGCCCACGTTATTCATGAGTGTGAAACGTGCTGCAATTAAACAAGCTAAACGTTTAAAGTCTCTTTGGTATGGAGGATGACAGCTGAAGTACAAACTTGGGGAGGCCCGGCAGACTGACTATATCACACTGCCACCAACCCGTCAAGTCAAACACCATGTGCTTACCATGGTGGAAGCAACCACCGGGTGGCTGGAAACATACGCTGTGCCCCATGCCACTGCCCGGAACACTATCCTGGGCCTTGAGAAACAGATTTTGTGGCGACACGGCACCCCAGAGAGAATTGAGTCAGACAATGGACTCATTTCCGGAATAACCTTATAGATATTTGGGCCAAAGAGCATGGCATTGAGTGGGTATATCACATCCCCTACCATGCACCAAGCTCTGGGAAAATCAAACGGTACAATGGGCTGTTAAAAACTACACTGAGAGCAATGGGTGGGGGAACTTTCAAACACTGGGATACACACTTACCAAAGGCCACCTGGTTGGTCAACACCAGAGGATCTGCCAACAGGGCCGGCCCAGCCCGATCAGAACTTTTACATATTGTAGAGGGGAACAAAGTTCCTGTGATGCACATAAAGAATTTGCTGGGGAAGACAGTCTGGGTTATTCCTGCTTCAGGTAAAGGCAAACCCACTTGTGGGATTGCTTTGCTCAGGGACCCAGATATACTTGGTGAGTAAAGCGGGAAGATGGGGAAGTCCAGTGTATACCTCAAGGGGAAAACAGCCAATGAACTCAATTATATGCTGTTGCCTGCTATGAAATACTTTTACAGCCCACCAACTAGATGTCTTCAGGTCACCAGCAACTAGCCCTGACTTCCCTCCAACCATCATCCCAACAGAGAATGAACTTTGATAGAATCAGATGAGTTCTGTGGTAAAGGAATGATCAGCATCAGCAGGCAACAATCCAACACTGCACACAGCCTTTCCTGCCCTGAAAGACTGTTACAAGAGATGGAACCTGACATCATGGACCAACTGGACTCAGCAGCTTTATAGGGATTGGTCCATGCACTAAGGAATGATCTCTGTGTGTGTGTGTGTGTGTGTGTGTGTGTATGTGTGTATATATGTAAGAGCAATGGTATATTGAAAATGTGGGATCTGAGCATGACATGAATGGTATGGAATAAGGGGTGGGTACTGTCCTGGGTTCAGCAGTAGCAGTCATTTTTTCTCCTTAGTAGCTGGTGCAGCGCTGTGTTTTTGACTTTTGGCCTGGGAACAGTGCTGATAACACAGATGTTTTTAGTTACTGCACAAATGTTTAGTCTGACCAAGGACTTTCTCAGCCTCATGCTCTGCCAGGGAGGAGGGAAGCCGGGAGGAAGCAGAGACAGGACACCTGACCCAAACTAACCAAAGAGGTATTCCATACCACAGCTCGTCATGCCCAGGATGTAACTGAGAGTTACCCGGAAGGGGAGTTCACTGCTCAGTCAGGCTGGGTATTGGCGGGTGGTATTGTATTCCCACCCCTTGTTATTTCCCTTATCATTATTATTATTGGTGGTAGCAGTAGCGATTTGTGTTATACCTTAGTTACTAAACTGTTCTTATCTCAACCCGTGGGAGTTACATTCTTTTTGATCCTCCTCCCCATCCCTTCAGGAGCTGGGGGAGGGAAAGAAGGGGAGGAGTGAGAGAGAGAGAGGGTGCCTGATTTATGGCTGACGGGGTTTAAACCATGACAGCTAGGAAAACTGTACATTTAGAAAAGGAGTCTGCTCCCAGATAGGCTCTGTGAAAAGCTTGTACATAGCAGAGCTGAAGAACCATATTTTAAATATTCCTAAGCATCCATCACTATTATTACTTTTGAAATAATAGTCAAATTTTACTAATAAAGATGCAAGCTACAGCTTTTAAAATCAGGCACTCAGCAATCAAGGAATCCCAAAAGTTAAAGTTTCTCTGAAGTATATGTGCTATATTCCTGTTTCCCTGTTAAATATAGATTTTCAAGTATCCCATTAAATCCGAGATAAATATATAATATGTGCAGCAGGTACATATTAATGCAGTGGAAAATTATTAATTTTTAGACTATCTTCAGGCATGAGTGCTTAATTTCACAATACTTGTATCAATTTACTGACAGTTTACAGACAGGGGAAACACTGTGAGCATAGACACCTACTCCGCAAGACACCTTCTACATTTTCATGTGATAGTCTTGAAAGGAAATTATAGGAAGGAAGTTTATAATCAAGCCTTTCAAAGTAGCTATAAAAGTCTAAATTTTGTGAACACAGAATAACTGGAATAATAGTTCACTGACTTCTAAGAAGAGCTGTTGGGCTGGGCCTTGGAGGTCAGTTCTTGATCCCAAATTATATAACTGAACTGAAGAATTTTGTGCAGAGGGTGCTAATCTTATTTGCAGATAGCAGCAAGAAAGAGGGGGCAGACAGGTATAGAAAACTTAAATATGGTGTAAAATTAGTCAGTGAAGACATATGTAAAATAATGACCATGGAGCAGCATCAGAAAGTCTTAAGGGTAAAAATATTCAGAAAAGAGGGGCCATGTGGGTCTATATGTGCGTCAGAATAAGGACACTAAAATAGAGCTGGCAACAGCCTCATGAAGAGTTTGCATTTTCTTAGAAATTACTGAAAGTAATAAATATAGGAAATTTATTTTGTTTTGTTGCTGTTATTTTCTTGAAATGCAGATACATCACAGCTGTATTTCCCACAGGTCATTTCATACGAATCCCATTCCAATCCTGTATGAAGAGGGCTTTCTAAACTTTGATAGAGTGAAACACCACAAGGTCAGCAAAGACATTTACTTTCAAGGAATGCAGCTCCTACTGGAGAATTAGATTTGTAATTCAGAGCCTTTACTTGATGAAGTTAATAAGAACATGGCTACATTTTATGGGCACAGGCTGAGGTTGTCTTGGCTGGGGTAGTGACTAAAATTAGGCACCAGCTTAAACATCTTGTTGAACCAGGAGCCATAACCTTGTTTGGAGCAATGCCTTTTCCTGGGTAACAGTAGCAACAGAAGTGAAGTGCTCTTCTGAAACTGGAAAAATAAATAGCAACTTTTATTCTGGAGGGGAATTTGTTTTGTCGTATTCTATTTTACTCCAGTGGGTAGGATACCACCAATTTTCTATTTAGAAACTGAGATAATTTAGAGCAGCACTGATAATCAGAATATTAAGGAAAACTACATTTACAGTAGTCATTGCTATGTTGCAGCACTTGCCTGGGGCTCTGGGCAGAATTCAGGATATTGTTTTTATCTTTGAAGCTCCTAATGGTTTCAGTTTAATTTTTTTCTGAAGTGTTGTTGCCTCTTTTGTGTTTCTATGTGCTACAGCTGATATAAGTAGAAGTACACAGCATGAGCTTTTTGATTCAGGAGAAAAATCTGTTTATACATTACACAGGCTCCTTAGCTTAGCACTTTACTCTTTAGTATAACAAACCTCAACCACTGGTGTTCCACAAAACACCCACCTTTCTTTGGGTGTTAGGGACAAAATTAAAAGGCAAGTTCAGAAATTATGTTAATCTAATAATCAGCAGAAGAAATAGCGCTAGTAATTATGACAGTGGTGACCAGCAAACAGAACTTGTGTCAATTTATTAAACTTTGCTGTGATTTTAAGGTTCTTAAAGGCATTTCTGACTTCTGGGGTCAGAAAGAAGTGTATATCTTTATCATTTTATGAACCAAATAAAAAGGAGAAATAGTCCAAAACAAAATTCTTTTCCATTTCAAAATTATTTTCACTCAATGATATTCGCTATTGAAGAACTTTATGGTTTATGCGTATATTTTTTAAGGTGGTTTTGGTGGGAGAAGCTTTTATATGGCTCAGAGATCTATTTTGGGGATCAAACCTGCAGAAGACTTAGTATTATAATGATAACTATATCCTTGAATGTTGAAAGCAGTTCCATATTATTCCCTCCCTCAGTAGTCACATTATTGAAACATCTGAAAGTGGGCATTACTGCCAACTTACACTTATTTAAATCTTCTGAACCCTCTTTATAAACTAGTATCTCTATCTCCAGCAATCCACTTCTTGCCAGTTTTTGACAAATTCCCTCCAAATTACCAGTATCTTTCCAGCAACGAGAGCTTCCAATATTTTATTGTTTCACCATCTTTAGTGAGGATGCCATGTAATTTCCTCTGTCTTTATAGGAGGCCTGGATTTACTGTGGCCAGCTTTACTGCCAGAGGCATTTGTGAGTGTTACTGTGCACTACATGCAGTGAGCATATAATCATCTTTTGGAACCATTCTGCTCTGGTCTGTCTCTTTCATTAGATATGAATTTTTAACATACTTTGTCTTAGCTGTATTTGCATTTGGTTTTTTCCCCCTATTTTCATTTTCTCACATGCTCTCATTTTTCTAATCTCTTAAACCATTTTGGAATATCTCTGTTATGTTCATGCTTGCATAATGCATTACATAATTTAATCTATGAAATTTCAGATGATACCAAATTTATTCAGCTAACAGATGCAACATGGATCAATGTTGCAGAATGACTCTAAGAGCAGAACCATAGAGTTCTGGAGGACTGTGCAAGCAAGGCAGGGGGTGGCCCCCACAGGTAGCCAGAGACCGGACCTGGGAGGAGAATGTGGAGGAAGCTGTGGGGGCTAACCAATACTGTTATGCCAAGAAGGAGTGGCTGAATACCACTCCTATATATGTGTGAACTGGTTAACAAATAAAGTAGAAGTTGCTTATCACCCATATTGGGTTGGCCTGTCTGTTTCTCCTTGCCGCTTACAGATCAAGGCCTTCTGGGACAGTGAAAGTAGGTAGAAAATCTGTGCCATCTTGACCCATAGGAATCATTACTGTTTCTCTAAGAGAGAACCAAAAGAAGGCAAAGTTTCTGATTAGTAAATAATAAGTGAATAAGTGGACACCAAAAACTCTACAGACATGGTCTTTGGCTTACTTTTTTTTTTAATGATCACTGGATAAATAACAGTACATCACCTCCACCATCTCTTTACATCCCGCACATTCATCCATCCTCCCTTATACTTCAATATGGCAGCATAACCTCCTGTATCATTCTGACATTTATGTGGTTATCTATTTTTCTTTTGAAACATTTTGTACCCCAAAACAACCTCTCACTAGAGGTAAAGATAACCTACTCTGAAGCTAATGAAAGATCTTAGGTCCCTCAACTTATAAAGCTACATTTAGCCACTGCTAAAGTAAGTACCACCTGCTCCACTGCTCCAGGAAAGCTTCAGAAGTGGGATTTATCAGGTAGCTGAGCATTCATCACTTGAAGTTAAAACTTGGTTCAAATGTATGGACTTGATCTATCTTTGAAAGTCATTGGATGTTCAGTCAGAACGAATTGCCTCCTCCAACTCTGAGAAGCAACAACCAATGCCAGTGTGTTGCCCCATATTCTGTTCTGGCCAGCAGATTACTTATATGTTTATTCATTGTTATAGTGATGGTGGGGAAAGGGGAAAGGAGACTGTATTTTCCTTTATTTTTGAAAGCTTCATAGTTTGATCCAAATGAGATTATTATGTTTTGCTTATTTCAACTATCTGTCCAGAGATAAAACTGCAAGAAGTAGGCAAGGGTGAAGCAGCCAGTCCTTGACAGTGAGCTGGAAGCACTGCTGAACAGAACTGCAAAATAAAATTTCACAATCTTTTTTAACTGACTACCATGCTCTGTGGGTGAGTTCAAGATATTGTCACTTGACAAAACCAGTAAATCTGAAGGAATTAAGCAAATTTCTCTACATTTCAGGGCTTCCAAATCAGGAACACATTCTACAATAATTTAAGCATTTCTGAATCCAGAGTGATTCTCATCATCCGAATCCAGCCAAACGCAATCTAGCTCACCTTAAATAAGATATCCTTGCAAAGCACAGCTCTCCATGAAATATATTGGTAATCATTAGCACTTAAGTCCTCTTTGGAATTAATTTTCCTCTGGAAATGAGGAGAGCTTTCTCTACTTGAGTCTTCTCAAATCTCTGTCTGCTGGAGAGACAGAATACTATGTCTTCAGTTTAGTGAGATTTATTTTCACTAAATTAAGCTAAGTTTTATCTGGATATTTTAGAGAGGAATGCCTTCAAACTACCCCCCAAAATGTAAGTCAAATAAATTAATCTGCCTTTCTAACATTTTTATTTAAGAATGCTTTAAGCTTTGTATAAACAACAGCACCATTTCCCAATGGAATAAAAAATATAGAGGGCAAGGAGGAATAGGAAAAGATATGAAGGTCAAAGAATGAAAATTAGGGTATCAAAGGAAACATTAAGCAGAAGAATCTTTGTCAGTATTCATACTGTCTTAGGAAAGAAATCAAGTAGACTGTCTTAAGAGGGAAAACAGTCTTGCAAGCCCCATAATCAAGAGTACTCTGACAAACCTGCTCATTTCAGTCTGATGAAAAAACCTTGCTGTAACCAGAAGAGTCAAGGCTTTGAAGAGAAGCACATATGAATGTAACAAAGTGAAGGTATAACCAGAAAAGCATCACTGAAAAAAGCACAGTAATCTATATACTTGAACAAGCACTCAGTGGAGGTATTCCTATAAGCATGCCTGCCCTGTGCCCATGCTGATAGCTCCATGGAGGTTGCTGAAGGACAGAAAGGAGACAGAAGGCAAGGAAAAGGGTGAGGGATTAAGGTAATCTCATATAGAAGGGACGCCCCACAAGTTGCTGCTGCAATCTAGGGGTTCAAAGCCTGGTGTTACTGAAGGTGCCAAAGCAACACAGCAAGGTGGGCCAACACACTGACTGCAGCCACTGAAGTGGTCTTTTACCTGGTGGTGTACTGCAGCTGGCTCAGACAGAGTTAATCTTCCCCATAGCAGCCCTCATAGTGTTGTGCTTTGTATTGGTAGTTAGAAAGGTAGCTGCCTCTCTAACAACCCCCCCTCTCGAATATTCCTCTAACCAGTGGGCTGGGGGTAGGCAAGATCTTGGAGGGGACATAACCAGTACAGCTGACCCAGACCGACCAAAGGGATATTCTATATCATACAGTGTATGCTGAGCTATGAACGTAAGACAAAGGAGGATGAAAGGGAGCCATTTGTTATTTCTGGAACAACCGCTATGTGTACTTAAGCCCTGCTTCCCGGGAAGTGTCTGGACATCATCTGCTGATGGGAAATAGAGAATAAAATCTCCTGTTTCCTTTTGCTTCTGTGCTCACAACCCTTCCTTTTGCTTTATTAAACTGCCTTTATCTTCACTCATGAGGATTTTTCCCCATCTTATTTTCTCCTTTCCCCGTGCTGCTGAGGAGGCCAGTGATAGAGGCCTGGTGGGCAACTAGCCTGCAGCCAGGGTCAACCCACCACAACTGGATGCAATGGACCAAAGCTGAGAAACGCTGCAGGGTCCCAGAGACGTCCACGGAAAGAGCAAAAGTTATGATGCTCCCTCAGGCTTGGGAAAAGGGGCTGCTCGCCACCCTGGAAGAATCGTACTGTAGGAGAGAGTCCTCCCCACACGGCAGCATGGAAACCCGGGGGGGCAGGAGAAGGTGACAGAGCCTACCAGGCCTGAGGCTGCCTCCCCAGCCCGCGCCCTACTACCCCAGCTGAGCCGCTCCCCAAGACTCCCCTCCCAGGCGGAGGAGCAGAGCCACCCCTACTCGAGCTTGCCAGCCGCCTGAAACGCGCAGAAGCGAAAGTCCCCACTGCCAGCGCAGCGAGGACGGTCACCCCCTTGCGCAGCGCGGGCTTCTAGAAAGCAGCCCGCGGTTGGCTGTAGCTCCTGTCCATCAGCCCTCGGGGGCGGGGCCAGCGGGCTCGGCCATCCGAGGTGTTCGTCATAGCGGAGCGACGCCTGGGACGCTGTTGGCGGCCGAGGCTCGGCCTGGTGTCATGGCGGCGGCGGCAGCGGCAGCTCCCAGCCCGCCCCAGCCCGGCGGACACGCTCCGGAGATCGGCGCCGACCCTGCGGCCTCGGAGGTGGCGAGCAGCGCTCTGCGCTGCCTGGCCGGGCTGGCGGGGCAGGTGAGTGCCGGGCGGGCGGAGGGGGAGGCCCGGGGCAGGGCTGGCCCGGGGCGCCGCGGGCCCCACACCCCGCCTTCACCTCGCCTTCACCTCGCCTTCACCTCGCCTTGGAGGCCCCAGCGGGGCGTGCTCCTGCTTGTTCCCGGGTTGCGGGGCTCTTCTAGGCTCCAGGGGTAGGGTGCGACGTGGGGGAGAAAAGAAGCCTGGCACAAGCAGGCAGCGTCATCGCTTCTGGAGGCTGTTAGCACCTGGCCGCAGGAGCGGTGCAGCCCCTGACAGGGCTGGGATGGCGGGGCCGGCTGCATGCCTCCTGGCGTGGGCAGCCCCGGGCTGCTGCTGTGTGCCCTCACCGTTCCTCTGCCTTCGAGTAACGGGACGGCTCATGTCACTTTGCAGTTTAATGGTTGATATCTTCCATGATAAACTGCAGTCTGCCTAATTGCTGTGTCTTAACAATTAACGATTATGAATTGAAAAGCTGCTAAAAGCTGGCTGTGCATTGAATCAAAATAAATGATTAGGAGCTTGAATTTAGGCTTGCTTGGTAATAGCATGCTATGAAACACACAGTGCGTCTCAGTGGGTCAGAATTTTTAAAGCAGTTTTGCTGTGGTACTTAAGTTGAACACTTACTTTAGTTTTAGTAATGGTTATGAATTATTTAACAGATGTTATGGTAGTGGTGGGAGGCCCTTACCAGGAGATGGTTTTAGTAACAATTTGATTATTACCATAAATAATTTACAGATTAATTCCTTTTCCACTGTGGAAGCATATATGTAGTTCTTTGAAGGTGGTAGAAGCACACCGTTGCTTCTGAAATTAGCAGCTTGAAGGTTTGGGGCCAGATGATGAGTGATATTTGCAGGAGATAATTTAGTATATGCTTATGTTACAGAAATGCTCAGAAATGTCCTCTGTTAGATGCAGTTTAGTAGTAGCTGCTGGCTGATGTGAAATTATTTTTTAAAATATTTCACCTCGCATCTGAATAATTTTGTATTATCTTTGCTTCTAGTCTCAAAGTCTGCTAGTAATTTTCTTAGTTTTCAAACAAAAGTAATCCAGAATTAAGAGCCTGAAAAGTTAGGTGCTGAGTAGTAAGTGTCAGTTTGCTTATCACTAAAGTGATTAAGAACTACCCTAGCTTTTGAACACGAGTGCAGTGCTAAACAACTTGATGATCGTATGCTGTTGATTCATGGGCTTACTGACACAGGAAAACTATGTATGGAAGACAGAATACCCTATAATTCTTTCTTGTGGAAATTCTAAATGTAGTCAGTAAAGAACTATTGACTGTCAGTTTATCTAGATGGCAGATATTGTCATTCATACTGCTGTTCTTACAGCGTTAACATGAGGGAAAAGTTGAGCTCTTGTATTTATGAAAAACACAAAGAATAATAAAGGAAAAGTTTCCTGAACTCTAACTAGGGTACTTGTCACGAGTTTAATTAATTGTTTTCAAACCTACATTAATTACTACTTTCTCTTGTTTGCCGTGTTTGCTCTGTGTCTAGCATGTAACAGGAGAGAGCTTAGTAATTTTTAACATTGTTTTGGCATGCACAGCCAATTGCAAGAAATCGGTTTAGAGTTGCTACATCTACCTCAGTAGACTTACATTAGTTGTAGTGTAAAATTGTCATCATTGGCATTTGGAGTGTATTTCCATGACAACAAACCAATTTTACAGTGCACTGCACTGAAGTATGAGTAGGGGTCTGCTTGCTCCATCTTGGCTGAGGCCCATTTAATTGCTCAGTCATGATTGTTTCCAGTAGTTGAGTTGAACTCTTGTCTTCCGGCACCTGAGTTCTGGTAGATTTAACTGGTGTTCTACCAGGTTACTGACTCCAACAATCCATCTTGCATTTTTGACTGAAACCACAAACTGATTCCTCATTTCCCTTTTATAGAGATGAGTGAACATGTGCCAGATTAGCTGTCACAGTTTATGATCCATTGTAGTAGTTTAAGTTGGATTTATGCTAGCAGTTTGGACTGTAAACAGGAATATTTCTGGCACAGGGTTTTTTTTTACTACAGCATTCACTTGAAGCACAGAAGACATCTAGGGATAACAACTCTTAAAACCAATATGACTGATCATGAAAAGTTCTTTTAAACCCCAAGTAACAATGTCTTTCATAAAACAATTTCAAAGGGCTGAAATGACTTATGATCCTGTAAATTGCTACAGAATAGGCTATGGACTTGTAAATATACAAAGGCTTTGATGTTAGCAAATCACAGGATTTATAAACCTGTCACAGTTCTTAGAAGCAGAAGGATGAGAAAACTAATTATGTTGTACTAGAAACATGTTTGGATGCAGGAGAGGCTTATTTTTATATTTGAAAACAGTGTCTATGAGTTTAAAATATCACTGATCTAAATTATTCCAAGTCAGAAGTTCTGTTGGTTTTGTACATTGAACCATATGCACAGGAGTCGCACGCTGTGATATGAAGGCACATGTCATCTGATTCTTTAGGAAAAAATAGGCTTATTAGGAAATTGCAGTAGGGCTCCTGTTTTGTTTCATTACGATGACTTATATTTATGCCTTTTTTCCACTGTCTGTGCACTGTAATGTGGAGTATAGCAGATGTTACTCTTCTCTTTGGGAAGAAAGACATGCTTCAGATGATCCCATGCACAGTGGCTAAATTCCTAAAGTTTTCTTCTTACTAAATTCTTAAAATTCTTGATTTTTGTAAGGTGTTCAGAACTAGTATTACCTTATTTTTTTTCTACATCCTGTGTAGTTTAAGTACTACACACGAATAACCATTTGTGTGAAAACTACCTAAAATACGTTATATATCTAGTCAGACCAAGGCCTTTGCTATGTAACTTGGAATCTAATACTGGATTTAACAAAGTTGTTCTTTGACTAAAGAAGGAAGGCTCAGGCTTATAGTTCTTTACATACAAAAATGTGATAATGCTGGGGCTTAAAACTAACCCAGAACAACTCACTGTCCACTGCTTTGCTCTCAGAGTGATGGAGGCATTCTTGTGTTTAGTTCTCATTGTTTCCTTATACACTGTGTGATGGATTTAGGAAACAAGTACATTTGCAGTCTTGTGTTCCTGTCCATAATATTTGGTGCTGTTAAAAGTTAAATATCTTTAGACCATATGTTAAAGGTCACTTCTGTCATCTGATTGAGGTGTCTCTGGGGTTTTGTTTGGTTTTGGGTTTTTGTTTGTATTTGTTTGTTTGTTTTGTTTGTTGTTTTTTTTTTGTTTTTAAGAAAATGGAAGGGATGAGATGTAGACATACAAATATTTATTTGACTTGGAAATTCTGTGTCTCAAATAGAGTACCTGAAGGTCCTCTTGATTCTCAGCTAGAGTTTTATGTGTTTTTAGAATTTGGGGATCACTTACAGATTGGTTGGAGAGCAGCGTACTTGGCTTTGGGAAATGAAAGTGCTTGTTGCTTCAAGATCTTGCAAAAAGCTTTAGTGCAACAAAAATAGCAAAAGTGGGTGTGAAAGTGTGTAGTTCATTAATGATTATTAACAAGCTGTTTTGTATTAGAAAGTGAAAGTTTATTTTAATCTTCAGAAGATCCATAGTTGCTTAAATAAACCTTCAGATTCACCATACATGTCTCTGTTGCTTTGGGAGTTAAATATTGCAATTCCTTGGAAAAGAGAATAGACTATGGCAATTGTTATTTTGATCTGAATGCATGTAAAGGAAAATAGTGTGATTTGGAAATGGGTTTGATAGTGGTGCTGTATAGTCTAGAGCTTGTTTAACCTCAAGTTTTTGTTTGTTTGTTTGTTTTTTTTAATGCTTATTTTTAAAACAAAGCCTCCTTTGGATTACAGCAAGTAATAATTTCAAGAATGTGGCATGGTGCAGTATCATGACCTTGGTTATGCAGGAATAGATAGCCTTGCAGATCTCAGAATAAAATACATGAATTTACAGGAGACTGCCATCCTGGGTGCATGTTTCTTCCTACTGGCGGTTCTGTCATCTATTAAAAGAAAAGATTTGAGTGATTAACCTGACCAGTATGTTTTTGTATGATAGTTAATTGAATTGAGAATCGACTGACGTTAAAGATCAAATTAATACAATGAAAGTGTGATGAAGTAGTAAGGAAATTTTAATTTCTGAATATACTCTACATATGCTAGCTTTCTTTGAAAATGACAGCTGCTTGAATTATAATTAATGTCAAACCTCTCCAGTGTCCTCATAAAAAAAATGGGATCTGTATGAGATTGAGCATAATTGTTGTCCTGTAGGAGTCTTGTATACTTTTGTGACATTAATACAGCATAACAACATAATTTTTTGTTGTATTTGCTTTGTCCTTTTGAAGCTTAACCTTGAGGATGATATTGTGAAAGTTGTAATCGATTGGAGCAAGCTTCAAAGCACATCAGCGCTTCAGCCAATGTTGCTCTTCAGTGCGCTTCAGCAGCATATTTTATGTTTGCAGGTAAGTATTTCATTGGACGTATTTAACTTGATAAAAGTGATCAACAGCTGAATGTAGTTATGTTATCTAAACTGTAAAATTTAAGTTGGCTTTGTTCTTGCGTTGCTATGTCTAACAAAAAATAGTGCGAAAGTGTTATATGCTTGGGATTCCACTGTGCCTCATCGGTACTCATGCTTATGGATTTTTCCGATTAGTGGTGGGAATAGCCACTGTAGGTGAGCAGGCTGAATAAACGCAGCCTCATTGATTTCTAGACTTGCATTGTAAATGTGATACATTTCCATCTATGGTGGGTTGTAATTAAGCAATAAGACACGGCAGGTGTGTGTCATGCTATGATAATGATTCCATGCGTTGGGTGAGTTTTGAGGCTCATGGAGTGCTTTCAGTGGTTCAAGAAGTGGCATTATCCCAGCATGACACATCCTGGAGTGTCTTACTGCAATTAAATATATTTTCAGCTTTTTTTTTTTTTTTTAAAGAGTAATTTCTTTGACATTAATGTCTCATCGTGCCAAGTAGCCAGTCACCATTACTGTCATTTCTTTTAACTATTTGAAACTTTCCAACCCTGCCAAAAGTATGTGTAATTTAGTTGCATGGCAGGGAGGGTGAGCAATTTGTCAGCTAGTAACAGAACAGTGTTTTGACTTGATAGTTCATCTGTAAAAGGTGGGGATTTGAGTACTAGTGTTTTGTTTCAGCTAGTCAATGTATTATTTCAAGTGTGTAGTACTGAGAGGGTTAAAAAGGAAGTTCCTGTATTTGCTTGTCTGTAGGTAAAAGAAAGACCCTTTATGTTTTCCAGACATCCACCAAATCTTTGGTGTGATGACCAAAAAGAGAAAATATGCAAGATAAAAGCAAGTAAAAATCACATCCCACTGTAGGAACACTGCAAGTAGGAATCTGATTCATTTCAGGAAATGTAACTGGTAAAAATCATGTTGTATTTAAAAAATAATTTCTAGAGGGAAAATAAGCAGTGAAATTCAGACTAGGTGAAACTCGTAAAAATCTTAAAAAAGGGGGTGACACATACATATGTACTGGGGTTTTGTTATTACATCTGTGTAAGAGTTATTGCAGTAGAATAAGCATTTCTTTTTGCTGCTATAAATGTCAGTGCATTCTTTCATTTAATTTCATGACCTAAGTAGATAATAAACCGTGTCAAGAAAAGCATGTGTTCAGGATAACACTAATATAAATCATGTCTGTGTTCTCTCATTTGCTTGGGCAACTGCAGGTTCAAGTGGAGAATGTAGTGCTGTGGTGATAAAGTAAAGGCTTTACAGTGTGAAAGCATTGGCTTTCATGTTAAGGAAGAAAAATACTAAGCCTTACTGTTCTGAGTAGGCATTTGAATGAAATGCTAATTAAGTGGCATTGATGCCAATGATTGACACTTTGATTTCCCTAGTAACAGATGAGCAGCAGGCAGATTTTTGCAGAAATTTGGGAGTTTTCCTATATAAACATCTAAAAGGCATAGGTCAAAAAGGCCAGAATCATGGTGTGCACAGTATTTGGAACAATAGCCCTTTTTTCCCTTTTTTAAAATTTTATTACTGTGTTCCATCAGAGGCAGATGTTGTAATTCCTAAAATTATCTCAGTTGGTTTGTTTTAGAAATTGTAACAGTATTTGGCTTTTTTGCTTTTTCTTTTGGGGTTTTTTGTGGGGTTTGTTTGTTGTTTTTTTTTTTTTTGATAACCCTAACATACTGTTTTCTTTGTCTAGCCTCTTTTAGAAAAACTCCAGTCATTGATTAAAGAGGAAAATATAGGCCATGTTGAACCTACATGTAAAACAGGCAATCAAACTTGTGAAACAAGTTTAGGTGTTTATGATGGTAACTGTCAGACTGAAGAAAAGTATGCAAGTTATGATTTGGGAGATCTGAAAGAAGCTCATATTAATTATGATCCAGAGGTGGTCCAAATAAAAGCTGGAAAAGCAGAAGTAAGTGATTTACCTAAATAAAAAATAAAAATATCTTTCTGAATTTTAAATTTAAAGAATGAAATAGATATATGCCATCATGTTTGCTATCTGCAGATTGACAGGCGGATATCAGCCTTCATCGAGAGGAAACAAGCTGAGATCAATGAAAATAATGTCAGGGAATTTTGCAATGTTATTGATTGTAATCAAGGTAACTGGATACCCAGACTTTAATCTTCATAGCAGTTTAAGTTGGCTGGTTTTGATTTTTTGTTTGTTTGGGGTTTTTTTGTTTGTTTGTTTGTGTTTTGTTTTTTGGTGGTGTTTTTTTCTTTTCCATTTGTTCAAAAGCATTATTCTATATTTAAAACAGAACTTCATTTTAAGAGTAACTTTGTTTTAAAGTTAAGAATTTTCATGTGCACTGAAGATGTTGTCAGATAGACAAAAAAAGGAAGTAGTCCCTTTAATACATCCCATACAGAAAGATTGTAGCTATTACTGTGTTCATTTTAAGAACTATAATCTTAAATCAGATGATTTTGTAACTGTTGCTTAGTGGTTTAGCTAGATTTTCCTTCCAAAGTTAACTGAATTGCAATTCAGAAATACCTTGTGAATTACATATTCAAATTAAAGTTTTAAATTGATTATTACCTAGTGCTAGTTGAATTACAAAGAAGTACTTTTTGCAATCAGTCTGAATTACTAGCTACTTAGAATAACTTTTTCCTTTCAATGTTAGTCATAGTGTTGGAGTTTTTAATGCACCAACTGGCACAATTTGCTGTATCTATAACCAGTCTTATATTCATCTGGCAGGCTGGATCCCATTAGCACGATCAGTGACTGTGTAACCAAATGCATCTTAAAAGTGAAGTATATGGGGACATTTTCTAAGTGCCGGTGTCTCTGTGATATGCTTTTAGAGATCAAAGCTTATTATTGCTTAAGCTTCATAGGAAGAGAGTTTAACTGCTTGAATGTTAGTTGGAATGAAAATGACAGCTCAAATCTAGTTGAATATGCTAGACAGTAAAAGACTGATTCCTAAAATTAATAACGTTCAGAAGAAATTATAAAAAGACCTTCCTTTGTACGTTGAGGCATAATAAAAGATGTGTAAAGCTTTGGTGTATATTAACAGAGATTAAAATAGAAACATTAGAATAAACTAAGATTGTCTGGACTGTAGGCCTTTATGGTTAAACAAATTAAAGAAGTCACAGGCTTCAGAATAAATGCAGGAAGGTGATAAAAGAATGCTGATGAGTAATTAGACCAGTGTAAAATGGGAGGAGAGTTTCAAAAAAGGACAGAAAACCAGAATAATAGTGGTAAGCAGGGAAGAGACTTCTCTACAGGAAGAAAGACATAAGTTACAGAGAAATGCAGTGACAAATAAGAACCAAATAAAATGTAAATTGGAAGAAATTTGGGTTGATCTAATCAACTTTCATATACACGTGTGCATACATTTATATAAGTGACTTATCCAGTTAAAACCAGTAGGTCCATGCAGGTGTGTGAAACTGTAATGAGTGTGTTAGTAGAATGAAAGAAGCATTTTTGATGTTTTAATTGTATGAAAATTTTTCATTAGATTTGTTAAAAGCCTCAAAGCTGATGATAGTTAGAACATTTTAAATTATAAAGACATAATTAGGACCTCACTTTTTCTGTCATTATTATTTATTTAGAAAATAGCTGTGCCAGAACAGATGCAATTTTCACACCCTATCCTGGATTTAAAAGCCATATAAAGGGTAAGCACCTACTTTAATACCCCTTTATTAAGTGTCCAGATAGAAAAATATGGATAAATTTTTGACTTTAAAACTTTTTATAGAATGCTCAAAAAATGCAAACTTAACATACTGATTTTTGAGTCTCATACTTTTACATCCTCACATCTCCAAGGTTTTCGATCCTGTAACTCCTTCATTAAGTTGCTGGTTATGCTCTAAAGAGCAAAACAAAGTAGCTTATTTTCGTTGTCTGAAAGGAAAGATACAGAAGGTAAAGTGGGACAGAGAAACAGAACAGTTCTTAGCTTTTCATTTAAGGCAATGCCAGCAGTCCAGTTGAGGAATTGAGATTCAATAAAATTATCATACATTTTTTGTTAGTTGGTGTAGCCAGATTGGTTTAGAAACAGTTTTGGGACACAATGGAAGTTCTGAGGTACAGGTTTATGGGAAGTGTTGAGCTGGGCACTACCTTTTGGAAAAGAGTAAATAGTGCAGAAATGATTGTCCAGCAGAAGTTACATATAAAAGATTGCTTGTCTATCTACTGTGCTCTGGGTGTACAAAAGTTACTCTGTGTTTAAAAAAAAATAAATGAAACCTCCAAAATGAGAATGAAAGTAATGTCCTTTTTCAAGAGTGGTAGTATTCAGTTATCCACATGATACTGGTTCTAGAAATCAATTCATTATTGTGAATTGAGAATAATAGCGTGAAGCATGATAGGTATAAGGAGTGTAAGGTCTGAGTTAAGAGGGAGATAGGGAAGTGAGCTTGAGTTTATTATCTAAGAACTGCTTTCAGTAGTCACATTTTTTAAACTGAGTGCTAATTTGTAACTTGGATGGTAGCATATTACAGGAAAAAAAAGAAAAACTTACACTTCAAGTAACTAAAAACTGAACAGTTCATGAACTGAAATGTGAATAACACCCAGAAAGGAACTGGAAGTAAAACCAGCATAAACTGAAGCAAAAATGTGACGTGACCTTCATGAAGTATTGGGCAAGAAAGTATGTGCTTCAGTGTCTGGAGTTCCAACATAGTCTTTAAACCTGCAGTACACTGCAATAGTCCTGTCAGGAGGGACTTGAGAAGGGACAAAAATGTTCTGATACAGACATGGTTCAGGAGAGGAGGAAAGATAGACCAGGAAGCAGCTGAAGAGTTATTAAAGCTGTTAACCTGAATAACAAAAATTAGAAGAGAACTTCCTTGCTGAGATTGATAGCGGTTCTTCTGGTTGTTTACCTCCCCTCATCTTCATGTATTTATGATGCTTCCTGTAATACTAGGTCTGGCCTTTTCTTTGCATTCACAACAGCTCGCATGTGCAACTGCTGACATAGATATTGGGCTTTCTGCTGTTTATCAGCAGCTGATGACAAACTCTTGATACTGCTGTTCTACATGAATGTATGAGTAATTCTTTTACTTTGCATATGTAAAGTCCTGGTTTTTTTTTTGTTTGGTTTGGTTACTTGTGCAAAAATAGGAAAATACTTTTACTTGAACCTTTGATCTTGATATGTGTGGGACCCTTCACATGAGAGACTTGTGTGAAAATTCATCTAACACAGCTTTTTTACATTTTACCATTTTGATTGGTTTAGTTAGATATACTTTGTGTTTCTTGTGTATGTGTATTAAATTTGTGTTCTCTTTACCTAGTTTCTAGAGTAGTAAATACATATGGTCCTCAGACTAGATCTGAAGGAGCGCATGGGTCCAGTCACAAAGCCAGTGTCCCCATGCATGATTGTGGAAACCAAGCTGTTGAGGAGAGATTGCAAAACATTGAAGCACACTTACGGTTACAAACAGGTTTGTATCATGCTTTAATTTTGACATTGGTATGTCAGTTTATGTTAGTTATCATTACTGTAGTAAAACTGGACAAGTCTTTCAAATCTGTGACTGTAAAAACAATGGATAGATCCACAGAAAGGTTTAGTCACCCCAAATACTACAGTCATGTGTTTAGGTTCTTATACCCAAAATGGAACCCAGATTCACACCCGAGTTAGGATGCTGAGTTAGTAAATGTATGCTTTTGGTGGCAAATGAAAGAGAGGCACTTCAGAATGGGATTAAACCAGTCTGGAGTATTTGGAGGTAGGGGTTCTCAATAGCCAGTGGAGTCCTTCTGCGTTGACCCACTGAACAGGAAAAGCTGAGGTTAGGATTCAGTCCTGCTTCATGGACACCTTCTGTGGCAGAAAGTAGAATACTCCCAGATACTAGCTGTATAGCCATCTCAAAAATAAGGTGGATTTTGTGCATGGAAATAGAATTTGCAAGTGGCTGGCCAGCACTAAGGTTACAATGCAGCTTTGGAGTTTATGCATATCAGGGATGACTGGGAGTAGCTAAGGAGGGGTGCTTGCTTCCTGGTTCTGCCTATAATAGGTGACATAATTTTATTTGAAGGAACAGGTTTGTAAACTACAGTATAGGGGAAGAGGAAAGTGTGCAATTCCAGCTCAGCTCCTGTCCAAATCAGCATTCAGTGCTGAAGGTCTCAAGGTCATTTTTTTACTTATCCCAGCAGCTGTGCAAAAGGTGGTTATCCGAGCAGGTAACCTGCCTCAGCTACCTGCTCACTGGTTTTGGTTTCTGATGATGGGAAGAGTTGTTCTCAACTCATCTGCTGTTTATCTGAACAGCTTCTTCTAGTGCTAGTACTGCTCTTTTCCCTTTACATTAAGAGTTAGCAATATTAACAAGAGTGAGAGGTCAGCCCATTCAGTTAGTAGCTGCTGAGTGATGAGGAGAGAGCAGAACTGAAAGGAGGTAAGCTACCTGCAAAATGGTCTGTCTGAAGTGAGGAAATAGATGAATGGCAAAAAAACCCATTAGTGCTTATTTCAGTAGTTTGTACAATACAATTATCTTACCTAACAGACCTAGAAATAAATGGAAACGGGTGGCAAAAGAATCAGTAAAAGCTTGCTAAGGCTCTGGTTGTCATTGCTGTTCAGAACCAGACTGTCATTTTAGTTGGGATAGCCAGTAGTTGTGATAAACAGTGATTTTAGTTTATAGAATACTGTGTAACATGGTACATAGGTGCTTTCTGAGGCTGATCTTTTGATCAGTTCTGTTCTTAAATGGGGAAACAAGCCCAGCCTGCTGTAGTACAGCTGTAAACAGCAAATGGGTTGAGGTGGGTTTTTTTGTTGCTGTTAGTTTTGTGATGTATGCAGGTTTGTTGGTTTTCTGTTTGGTTGGTTTTTCGGCGGGGGGAGAGGTGGAAGGGCTTGTGCATTTTTTTGTTTGGTTTTTAGTTTTTCCAGATCTCTGCTATTCCATTCCACACAACATTGCACACGCCTGCTTCTCCCCTCTGTGCCTAAGCAAATGTTAGTCTTTGCCTAGTGCAGCTCATACCTGTCCTCATAACTTCTGATGCTCAGTGGAGATAGGCTTCCTTCGGAACAATCTTGGATATTAGTGCTGAATTCATGTGTGGTTGGCCGTCCCATCTGCTTGTGTTATTAATATATCATTAGAGTGATCATTAGCTGTTCAGGGACTTTGTCAGACATATTTCAGCCACCTGCATAAAGTTGTCTGTTGCCTTTACTGACTGCATTGGGTATCAATCAGCTTTTACCTTGAATCATATTAATTACCCTTCCATTTTACCACCCTGTCCACTTGTTTTGTTTCAGCTACTAGTTGATAGCTGGACTCAAAACAATTCACGTGTAAAACTTGCAGTCTTTAGTTTAAAAAGTTACTCAAGCACTTTTTGTGATTTCTTTGTGTATTTAGGTGGTCCTGTACCAAGAGACATTTATCAGAGAATTAAGAAGCTTGAAGATAAAATCCTTGAGCTAGAAGGACTGTCTCCTGAATATTTTCAATCTGTGGTGAGAAATTCTCTCATCTTCTTTTAGCATACCTAAATGCATTCGGGACTTTTGTTATTACGTCTTTGATGTACAGACAAAACCTAAGGGCATACACTCTTGATAGAGAACGCTGACTTGGTGTAATAGTTATGTTTTATTTGGACCATCTGTGTAAGTTCATATTTCTACCTAATTTCTCATTTGAAAGAAAATAGTATACATTTGAGGGAAAAAAACTGCAGCCACCCAAGATTCACAATTTATAAGGAATTTATTATGGAGGTTGGATTTCTGCGCCTCCTTCTCCCTGCTCTGTCCACCTCCCTACCCCACCCCACCCAGGTTGGTGAGCAGGTGGCTGAAGCATGTTACCTGCTCAGATAAGTACTTTTCGCAAAAAATCCCACACTTACCTGTTTCTTATGCCAAGAAAATTGCCAAAAGTTTTGATCTCGGTACAAATCATTAATGGCTTAAGTCTTTTGGGCTTCTGTACATTATTTGATTACAAAAGATCAGGTATATGAAATAACTTCCAATGGGAGAGTAAACCCTTTAAAAATTGTTTCATGTGATTCTATGACTTTTGTTTCTATGTTGCTAGTTTTCAGGCAGAGTTCTGTTTCTTTCCAAATAGTAAACCTTATCTGCCATTGACAAAAGAAGTTGAGGACAAAGAGAACATTAGTTATTACTACACCAAGCTCTGGTTGGCTGTAGAAATTTCTTGTCTGCTATTTTGTTCTTTCCCCATGTAACACTGTCTCTTTTAGTATTGATAACATTTTAATTCATATGTTCTCCCATGTGACCAGCCAAAGAAGAGTCTGCAAAAATCAATGGCAGTATTACCTTTTTGTTTGTTTGTTTGTTTATGTTGGAGACCAATAAAACCCTTTATTTGTGAGGCTCTTCCTTCAAGTTGTTGGAAACCAGAATTTAAAACATACATTTTTATAAGATGAGATTTCCACAGAAAGGGCTTTAGGATCTTCTCTAGAATGGGGGTCTGTGAAAAATTTGTGGTCGTCGCAGTATTGTACAGTAATTAGAATTCTTTTGTCCAGACTTTTGCAAAAATATTGGTGTGGATACAGGAAATTTTGGGGGAGAGAAATATTGACAGTTTTGAAAGCTGGATATTGATCTTGGTTTTGTCTGAAGGAAGCTTCAGTTAAGTTGATAGTTTTTGGCTGCCAAGCATGGAGAAGCTTCAACAACTTCTGAATGTTCTCCAGCAGTGTTCCTCGTGATCCAAAGTACTTAATTATAAAACAAGATTTCTTTAATCCATGGAATGGCAGTCGGTGTTCTTTCTGCACTTTAAAGACTCTTGTCAACATTGTTACAGAATTACTTGTGGTCCTTTGTCAGTGCAACGTTAAGTCTCTTTTGATTATGTCTTTTTTGTAGAGTTGTTCTGGCAAGAGGAGAAAGATTCACCCTCCTCACGTAAGTGCTGTTAACTTTTGTTTACCCTAAGTTTAGGATGTTCTGAGTGAAAAGTAATCAGAAGTTCTATCAAGCAAATATCTAACTTCTCAGAAGTAGCTGCATCAGTATTGGATATCTTGCTGGCAAAGAAAGAGAAAGACGAAGACAGAAAGTTAATGGATGTCACAGTGCAATGAGTCTTCTAAGAGTTTATACTGGAGTAGGTTATTTAGTGTTTTCACCAGTTAGAAAGATGAAAGAATAAAACAAATCTGTAATGTTGTTAATCAACATGGGGGTAACAGACAATTTGCAAATTCTTACTAGCCTGTTAGTAATGTGTTCTGGTTTTGTTTTGGTTTGTGGCTTGGTGGTTACTGTTGATGTTTTGAATTATTTTTTAATTTTCTTTATTGGTAAATTTATTATAGTTATTCATATTTATGAAAAGATAATAAAAGTAGAAGGGTCTGGCTCAGCAAAAGTGTTGCAGAAAGACCTGACATTATAGGAGATACTAACCTGAGTCAGTAAGACTTGCCATTTTCACAACACCGTCACATACGGGAATGCATTAACTAGTTGCTGGGACACTGCTACTAGCCGTCACACTTGGGGGCAGATGGCTGGGGAGAATGCTTAGAATGGAATGTGGGCCATCAGAGACTTGAGGAATTAGGCTTGTTTACATGAGGAAAAAAAAAAAATCCTCCAAAGAGTGAAATATGTTTATAAGAAGGATGATGACCAATTCTTTGTGTAAGAAGAGATAAAACAAAATGTCAGGTTAAGTGGGCACAGAGGACATTGATGTTGGGCAATAGGAAAAAAAAAAACCTTCATTTGTAAAGCTGGGTTGTATAAGATCTAGGTAGGCTTCTCCAGTGTTTTAACATCAAAGGATATTTGTAGGGGTTTTTTTTTCATGAACAGGTTAAATAAACATCTAATGGAAATAGTATGGATATATTGATCCATGATTAGGACTGTCACTTTCTCCTAAGTCTTTTTCTTTCAACTTTAATAGTCATAGTCTAGATTCAGACAATTCTGCAAATGTATTTGTATCACTTAGTGCAGTGTGCAGTGACCTCAGTTTTAAAGTGCTAGGCCGCTTCTCCAGCAATTACAAAATGTAAATGATTGTGTTTTTTATTTTGTTCCTTTAGCAGAACTATTCATTGGCTGAACTTGATGAAAAGATCAATGCCATAAAACAGGCATTACTGAGGAAGACAAAAGAGAGCAAGTCCAAGGAGGTTGAGCGGCTTCTTCGATAAAAAAAAAGTATTTTCAGAATCCTCATCGTGCTTTACACATGCCTAAACCATAGACCTGAGTAGTGTTGATCAGCGATGACTTTAGCAATGAAAGCAAAGCATGCTTATAACCTCCTTTTGGATGATCTTGAAAGCTTTGTTTCGGAATAGCTCATTTAAAAACTGTCTTATCAATTAGTTACTGTAAAATGAAGAATGTTTTAGGAATAGCATTCTAATCCATTCCCTTCTGTTATAAAGGAGGATTGCAGCATTGTTCATATGTGGAAAGTTGTAATCCACATAAAAAAGCTACATTTCACATGTAATTCTTGATGATTGGGTATTCAAAAGGGCTATCTTTTGAATACTTTCTGTGTAAGTAGTTTGCATAGACTTGTGAAATACAACTAAATACTCATAAACAAACTTAGGAAAATTGAAAAAAATCCCTTGCAGTATGCATGCTTGCCTGCATTTTATCCATATTTGTCACTGTTTCCACTACTGTTAGAACGGCAACAGATTTCTGTTTAAAATATGGTTATGGGAATCTTACATATGTAAATAGAGACACCTGTTCTTCACTTCCTCCATGCCCTGTAGGAATTCAAACTTTGTACCCTACTAACAAACTTAATATATTCTAAAGACCACTCCAGGGAAGGTTTTGAGGAGCATGCCACCAGGCACCAGCTTCCCTTCCTTCCATGTGCATGCTTATATGACTTCTGAAGCATGGATATTGGGTACGTAGTTTAAATTGGTCAGACCTTTGGCCACAGACTGAAGTGTGATTTTGTTCGTTTTAATAAAACACTTTATATCAGTTCTTTAGTTTATTTGCTGTCTCTGTGTTTGTTCTGGATTAGAAGTAGCTGTTACAGAGGGAGTCCTTTATGTTAACTCTTCTGCTTATAGCAGTCATACTATCAGTGTCCCTGTATCAGTCTCTGTGACAGGTGTTAAGAACAGTACTGACTGGACACAGTTGTACTTTGAAGAATAGTAGACATTTTCTGTAATTCTGTGTTCTTATCTAAACTAATATTTGTTGTAGCATGTAATGTTTCTCTGAAGGTGAGCCATCAGAGGTGCCTGACAAAAGCTGCTTGAACTCCGGGAAAGAACATAGTATATGTTACCTGTTCAGGTTCCTAGTGTCCACCCATGGAGAGGTTAACCCAAGCAGTTATGAGTGCCTCAGATACAGCACTGGATACAAAGAGGTACTTCTGCATTTGAAGACAGTGACCTGCTTATGTGTAGGACTGTTGCTCAGACTGTATGCTACAGTCCAGCATCCTACAGAGACTACTTCTGTTGTGCAAAGTATTGCAGCTGTTGCAAATCTGAACAGCTGATGTGACGGGTGAAGCAACACAATGAGCTGCAACTTTTACCACAGGTAGATAAGTTTAATTGCTGTCTACAAAATATTATTTTTTGAGCCATACTCAAAAGAATATAATGTGGATATAATTGTGCCTAGCAGCATACACATCAAACAGTAGTACTTGAAAGTGGGAGGTGCTTGTTACAGCTGGGGACAGGAAGAACAGTCACAGGGATTTAGCTTGTGTAAAGGAGCCTCTACTTGTGTGTACTAATTCAAGTATTGGTGGGACATGCTGGCTAAGATACTGCATTTTCACTGTGCAATTTTCTCTGGAAAATTCTGGAGTGAAGCCCTAGAAGAGATAATAAACGTGGCAGATACCTTGGGTAATATTGGCTAGTGTTAAATTATTTGTTGTTAGTTTACATTATAACAAATGCATATGTATATACATACAGACAAAAAAAACCAAACCAAGCAAACCAAAACTTTGCTCCTCATCTGGAGTCACTTAGAATAAATTGCAAACAAGCTGAATTCCCAGGGGGAAAGACTGCATTAGCAATTTCAAAGTGGCTTTTTCTGTAGTGAATTGAAAGATCTCTTGCCATGGGATTCTCCTCCTTTTTCTCAAGATGACAGCAACATAGCAGTTAAGGGTTGAAAGCATAATGAAGATGCATTGTAGCAAGACAATAGCTAAGTGTTGAAAGCATAATGAAGATGCATTGTAGCAAGACAATAGCTAAGGGACAACATGAGAAGTACTCTAGATTGCGGTTTATTAGCCCAAATGCTACAGATACACTTGAAAAATGTCAAGGTGTTCATCTTGCCTTGTTAGACCTTTGCCATTCTTTGGTTTCAGGTTGTTCATTTCTTGTACGCTTAATGCTAATGCATCCATACTGTAAGAATTCATTGGAAATGTATTCTCTGCTGTGAGTTGCATGTTAAAATGAGTTGCATGTTAAAAGTAGTTGCAGATTCCAGAGGGCTGCCAAGCTGTTGGAAGTTTCCCTTCTGCTATATGGCTTTTATCCATAGAGGGAAGGAGGAGCAGGACATTGTTCTGGTATTCAGAGCTACTTGTCTTACCAGTTTATCCTTACTTCCGTTTTGTCTCTGCCACTTTACCTTCTACAACTTACTTTCACTGTAAGGACTAGTTCTGCAGAAAGAGGTGAACTCCCCAATGCACCACACCCCCGTAATAAAGGGGATGTAGGATAATCCTTACAATATCAGTTTCCAGAACTACCTATTATGCTGGTTTTCCTCTGCACCTGAAACACTACAAGTGCTTGCTGATGAGGGCTGCAGTAGCTGAAGAAGTCTGAAAGGTAACCACAAATGAAGCAAAAGCAGGGGGAGTCTTTACTGTCTTGTTGGCATGTCTCAACACCTTGACCAAGATGTTTTTACAGATGCTGGGCTGATCTACACTCCCTTTCCTCCAAAAGGACATACAGAAGTGTTCTTAAGCAGATGACTTTATGTCTTTGTTAAACATATCTTTCTTCTCCACTTTCAGCTAGAGCTAGTATTACAATATAACACTGAGGATACCTTCCCTCATAAAATGTTTTCCTCTTGGACTGCTTCTGGCATCTAGAATCCTGTGTAATGAGAAGCACTACTGTGGCTGCTGCTTACTACAGCAACATTTCTTGCTTAGCAAAAGGCTAGTTTTGCATCTGAACTGGGCAAAGGAATGGTTTAGATGTGCAAGTTCACTACAGAGAAGAATTTACTGAATAGATAGAACTATATGGAAGCATTTTTGAAGGACATTTATGTGATCCAGTTCACCATCCTCCAGCATATATAATCCCAGTGATATTAAAGGTTTCCCTGTGAAAGGACATTAGTGCTTTTGTGGAAATACCTTTACTGCTGGCAGCTTACATGTGGCATAGCAAGAAAAACTATTGTATGGGAAAAAGCAATCTGCCTGGCTGTCAATACAGAGTTCTTTAATTTGTGAGCAATTTGAGAAAATCTGCTTCTCTTTTTCTTCTAAGAGGGCATCTCTGACCATGAGCAAACACACTGCCATAAAAATGATAGAGTGTATTCTTCATTAGTTCAGGCTAACCAGCAAGCGTGCTGTTTAGTAAAAATCTCACCTTTGAGAGGTCTCGGCACCACCACCCCTGCTCCTTCACCCAGTCAGTAGTGGAAATCCTAATAACATCTGTCATGCGTGAATGCCATAGCTGGATCCTGGGATTTGTTACTGGAGTCACACAAGAGTAAGAAAAGCAATTCTCTTAGGATAGTGTGAACCCCTAGTGTGGTAGTAGATAAAGAGCACCTGGATTTGTGTTACACAATGGTAATTTTGTATAGGTTTCCCTGTTGAGGATCTCTTGCACTGAACATAACTGCAACCCATTGCAGGATGATATATCACAGGGTTCAGATGAAATTCAGTGAACCCCACACGTGTCTAATCTGCATATATTAAAGCTGCAGGTGATTAGGAATGGCATTGCTTAATTAACCCAGAACACGTTTACCACTGTTCCAGGTATGACTGCTCTACCTTACCAACACCAACAAGCTTACTGAGCTGTAGACTGGCAGGAAAAGAGAGAATGACCATGGTGTGTCCTGCTAGAGAAATTGCAAAGCATTCCAGGCTGCCAAGGCTCCTACCTGAGCTGCATCTTTTCTGCCCTGATGTTTTCAAGGTGCATGCTTTGAAGAATTGCTTAAAGTCTCTGGAGCCATCCAAGACCTGAAAGGATAGCTTGGTTTCCACTGCAAGATGTCAATACAGACTTGGGTCCCAGCTGCAATACAGAAAATTTCCCAGATAAAATGAGGGAGAAATTCTGTCTCCTCATTTATGCTTACCTGAAAGTTAATGTAGAGATCTTTCCAGGTTTTGCCAGCATCCAATAGGCTGTGTTTCACACTTCATCTGAGTTATGGGGTTCCAGTTACAAGATAAATGATAATTGTACAGCACTGTAAATTTAGCATTAAATGTTTGAGGAAGATGTCTAAGCATCACTTTCAACCAAGAACATTTGCCACTCTTAGGAATGCTTCACATTGCTGCACCTTGCATGAGAGATGTAGTAAAACATTGGAGCTCGTGTTACTGTGCAGTTCTGCAATGTGTGCATGCTCGATTTCTTTGCTTCAGGCTCCTCTGACTAGGGAGCGATTCATCTCTAGGAGGCTAATTTCTTACAGTTGAGTGCTGGATTTTAATAAATAAACCCAAAAGTGAAGTGCCCTTTTGAACAGCCCTCGTACCAGCAGGTAATATCAGTAATTTAGGAAACTCAAACCATTCACCATTCCATCCAGTGTATTGCGATCAGTGCTGCATTATTTATTTATTTTTTAAAATACATCATAAGTTATCTCTTTTGTTTTAATTAAGACTTTAAAATACCACTGAGGAATTTTAACTGCAGAATGCCAAAGATACATTTGAAGGAGAAGTAGTTAAAACACTGAATAAATTGTTTTTTGATTGATGAGTTTACAAATCATTTGCAGCAATAAGAACAAACAAAACATTTTACAGGGTAATGGAGCCAAATCGTCTGTTCCTGAATGAAGATACGGTAGAAGGCCTTTGAAAAGGGAAAAAAAAATTTCTCCAGAAATATTCCCTTACAGATGGCTTTTGCCTTCCCCCATTAAAGCAAGTGCTTCCCCTAACCCTTCTTGCTGAAGGCTTGCTGAGTACTTCAGGCTTCTGTAGCCATAGGAATCTCCCTACCCTGATTTCAGCTGTGCTATAACATGAACCTGTATAATCTCCTCATAATTGCTTGCTACATCAAAGCATGGCAGGAAGTGGATGAAAACTATGCACAGACCTGCAGGTTACTGAGGATCCAGGCAACATGTCCAAAAGTGCTGGACTACACATTGCCTTTGTTGAAAGCATTGCCCTAGTCCAGATAACATGCTTCTATGGCTAGGAAAAGGATTTTCTGTCCTATTGGATAATCTATCCCACCCAAGAGCAGTGAGACCCAACTCAAGTGGTCTTTGGGAGATGAGTTTCCTTGTCATTGCTTCCTAGGATATACGGATTTGATTTCCTCTGACTCTAAGCACTGCCTGATGGGG